TGCTGTCAAATTTAAGGATTAAATTAATCTAGGTAAAAAAAATCTAGAATTTGCAGTTCGGACTCAATTCAGATAGTACACTTTAATGTTTTTTATAACTTTTTCAAATCAACTTGGATTTTCATCAAACTATACAGCTTTTTTAGTTATATATATTGATCTTACTGAATCCCAGGTCGTTATGTAGTTTGTTGTATTGCTGTCAAATTTAAGGATTAAATTAATCTAGGTAAAAAAAGATAGAATTTGCATTTTGGACTAAATTCAGATAGTACACTTTAATGTTTTTTATAACTTTTTAATATCAACTTGGATTTTCATCAAACTATACAGCTACATTGTATCTCAGTTATATACTGATCTTACTGAATCCCAGGTCGTTATGTTGTTTGGGGTATTGCTGTCAAATTTAAGGATTAAATTAATCAAGTTCAAAAAAGCTAGAATTTGCAGTTCAGACTAAATTTGGATAGTTAACTTTGAATTATTTTATAACTATTTCAAAGCAACTTGAATTTTCATCCAAATCTACAGCTATCTTCATTATATTTTTATCTTACAAAAAAACAGGTTATTTGGTAATTTGGTTTATTGCTGTCAAATTTAAATATTTAAATTATAGGTTTCTATCTGAATTTTGTCAAAACTGAAAATTTTAGCCTTTTTTAACCTATTAACTAAGTCCTTAAATTTGACACAATACACCAAAACACAAAACAACCTGGCATTTTGTAAGATAAATATATCATAAAGATAGCTGAAAAGTTTGATGAAAATCCAAGCTGATTTGAAAAAGTTATAAAATTTTAAAAATGAAACCTTTGTTTTGTTAAAACAAGAATTTAATATAATCATGATAATAGAACTTACATAACAATCCTTGATAACCTCTTAAAAAAGGAAATGTGTTCCAAAGTTACAGTAAAAATTTATTTTAATCAAATTTAAATAAATTTTTGTCATATTTAAAGACATGGTATACAAGAGGCACTTTAATAAGGTTTAATTACATCAGTACATGTGTGTTTTACAGGTAAAAAGAAAGCCCTACTTTTCTTAAACTCGTGTATTACTTATCGAATGTAGGACAGAAAGTCACAGGACAAAAAGTCACAGACAAAAAGCCACAGGACAAAAAGTCACAATTCAGTTTTGAGATTATTTTTCTTTAACAAGAAAAGACTTAAACGGCTTCATGGTGCTAAGAAATATATCTTTTGCATGATTAAAATTTAATAAATCTTTATTTATCAAGTCTAATGAACAATTTCCTCAACTGTAAAATAAATATATGTAATAAAAAGTAAATATTTAAAGATCTTTCTCTAAAATATTCAAACAAGTGTATACATATTATTTGTGACTTTTTGTCCTATCAAATTTGTGACTTTTTGTCCTATCAAATTTGTGACTTTTTGTCCTATAAAATTTGAGACTTTTTGTCCTGTGACTTTCTGTCCGTTTACCTACTTATCTAGTGAATTCAAAAGGCCTTGCGATTTAAGTTTAACAGGATGTTGCAATTTTGAATGAATGTTATTTAGAATTTAATACGTACTCTCTGGTAGGTGTGATCTTTTTGCCCCAAGCAGGATCTATTGCTTTATACTTCACCACTTTAATCAGAAGGACGATTTTAATAATTTCTTTAATGTTTGATCCCTTTTTGATATATTCATATAATATATATCAACATGTCGAGACAATGTCGAGACTAGTCAAGTAAAATGTGAGCACAAAATCTGGTCTTTTCAGACTCTGAGCAGTTTGTAGTGTAGATAATGAACAAATCCAAAGTGATGAAGAAGATGACCTTGTAATAAGAGCCTATGACAGTTCTGACAGTGATAATGACAATGATGATAATAATACTAAATGATGAATACAGTAGTAATAGTAGTAGTATAGTGGCAGTGAAAGTGAAAGTGAAATTGAAAAGGAATCTTATTTGCCTTCTTCAAGGAGGAGATCATTTAAAATTCCAGACAAATTCAAAGACTACTATATGTGATCTATGTTAATCTGATAAAAATGAAGTTAAATATAAAAAAGAAGATGTGGTATGATTGCCAATGAGACTTGTAACTCTCCACAAGAGACCAAATGACACAGAATTTAACAACTATAGTCTGTTTGATTTATTCATAGATTAGATAGGACATATACTTATTTAGTAGATATTTCATATAGGACAGAAACATTTTTTGGTATATTCAGAGGGTAGGACATAGCTTTTTTTAAGGGAGAAATATGAATTGCACCTGTCCCAACCCCCCAATAAATATTGACCAGTCCCTTAAAGAACAGTGAAGACAACAAAAAAAAACTTTGGAACAGAATAAACATGAAAAAATACTTTGATATAAAATTTAAAAAATATGTAAAAATTTGATTAGATATTTTACATGTATAACTGTTTGACAAATGTAAAAAAAAACGAATTCATGGATAGTGTTTCTGAACAAAAAAGCATGATTGTCAAAAATAATTCTGTCCTCCCATAAAGCAGAATTTACCTACCCACTGTTAATTTAGAATAGTCAGATTCTAAATTAAGCTGCAATTTTTTTGAAAAAATGTATTCTACCATACACTTCATACATGTTAATTGTTTGATATTGCATGTATCATTTATTATGGTCAATAACATATTGTCATCTGTTTGGGCTCCTGTGTTGGCAATAAAATATGCTTATGTATTGTTTTGTTTACTTTATAACAGCAATATAGATACAGTTCACACATAGTAGCATTATTTTTCAGCTATCCAAATACATTGTAGCATGAAATGTAGCCACAACTTTGATCATGTTTTTGTGCTTTTACATGGGACACACACTTTTTTACTAGGTAAAGTGCATGGGACAAGCATATTTTTATTCTGCCAGTAACCATGGGATCAAGAGAATTATTTCAGACAATTTTCTTTTTGCACCGGTCCCATGCATCAAGAAATTTTGACCGGTCCCTTATGTAGAGATCGAAGGTATTACAGATGTTTAACTTTTGAAACAAAAAGTTAAGTATGTCTTTCCAAAGGGTAGAAATGTCCAAGAAACCGAAATTTCCAGTACATGTCTAAAATTTCGACCCCATTTATCTGTAAAAGTAGCACATGCAGGTATATTTTTTATTACATGATATTAGAATTGAATAGATGAAAAATAGTTTGTATGAAAACTTTTGTCGAACATTCACCGTGGGATCAATACTGCATCGTATGCCCTTAAGTTGTGTATGTGTGTTTGCTTGTTGTTGTAAAGATCTTCTACTGCTCTATTAGTTTTCTTTGTATAATATCTTATTTTCAACGCAAGGTCACAAGTTGAATAATAGTCCGTGGATGGGAGATAACTCTTTCGTTCCTATAACACAACCACAAAATACAAATCAAACTTAATTACTAGCAACCTTTATAAAATTGAGAAAATGGTAAATGACTGTAACAAAATGGGTATAGTTCGAACAGGAGAAAAGTAAGACTAAGGTAAAAAAAAAACTCAAAATCAAAGGAATAGGGCAAAAGTATGAGACGGGCAAAGTATTGATAGTAATGTTAAATGTAAAAAAGTATAAACAAATCTAGGGTATGTTCAACACACCACTATCAGTTGTTGTCTTGTATCATAGCTTAATGTTTTGGTTATTCGGAGAATTTGGTGTACATGGCAACTCTTTGCTCCTTTCTGCGAAACTTATTAACATCTTCTATAGGCTAAGGATGATTTAGAGCTTTATACACTGTATAAACACTTGTCTATTGTTAAAATCTATGTTTTGCCCTCTAGAGATTTTTTTTTTGCTATTTGTCGTTGGGTATCTGTCACACGTATGTTCATCTCAAATAACACTTTATTGAAATGTTGTATCTCTATTTCTTCTTTCAAAAAACATGTCCTGTAAAACAATCTAGAGATCATCTAAGCAACTTGACTGTCGTTAAAAAAATGTCCGATTTATATACATATGCCTGGCGCTAAACCACCCCCGAGTCTTTGACAAACGTGAATAAGTTTTACAGTGGCTATAAATGTCATGTAGTAAATGCCAGATTTATATAAAAATAAAAACGAGACCAAAACATTATTGACATGGGACTGCCCTATTGAATTTGAATATATACAATTGTTTTCTTTCAATTTACCCTTTTTCAAATTAATTACCATTTAAAAAATAGGTGGTTCTCTCCAGGTTAAATTGACAAAAAAAGGACAAGAACTTGAACGCTCCGCTACATTTTTAAATAATTTATTTATTTAAATAATTTAGGTATAGGTAAATTTCTGTCACCGTTAATTAAATAAAAGTAAATAAAAGTCTTTTCGTTGATAGAAAACTGGATAGAAAAAATCATAAATTGTTTCTTTGTCCAGAAACATATGTATCTGCTTAGTCTAATCAAGGATTTTTATAGTACTCCAAAAATACTTGGTCTGATTATGACAATATAAGGAAGCATGCAGACATCAGTTTAGATATTTGTCTAAAGCGTAGCATTTTGTTTTGTTTCATTGTTCTTCAAAAAATACCCTTATTTTTCCCCTACCAATGGTAAGTACGTTTCATTTCAAACGTATTTGTTTTGTATTATCTATTATTTATTATTATAATTATTATATCATTATTATAAGATCTTATAATGAAACATGAAATATCATTACTATAATTGATGAAACCAAGGATTTGTATAGTTAGATGTCACTATACAAATCCTTGATGAAACCAGAGACATATATATATGTCTCTGATGAAAAAATAAAAATAAACAAAAAAATTTGTTAAAAGTGCGCATTATTATAATTTTATTTAATTTTCGATGTTCATTTTAATGAGATTCGCGTTAATCCAATTTTCACGTACAATTTTCTGTTTCTCTGTATAACTAAGCTAATTGGATTTGCGGATTATCGTTATAAATGAATATTGAACACCTTTGTTTGATCACGTGATGACACTTTTCTATTGATACGCCATTCCTTCCTGAACCCAGGTAGAATTAACGTTTAATAAAAATCGGTTTATTACTTTGTTAATGTGATTAACATTTTGAACATGTAACCATCTCCTTCTGGGTTTAAAAATATTTGATAGAAGAGGACGCAATCGTTTTCGATTAAAATATATCTCTGGGTAGGAGGTCAATCGAACAGCCGTCAATTTCTTTGATGTGTGTCTGCCAGCCATATTGTAGTGATTGGAACTGATCAGTGTATTTCTGTGACGAAATGGCGGTATTTATGATCAGTGACACACTTTGTTGTGACAAGAAAATATAAGAAGGTAACATTTCGAAAATAATATTCAACATTCAGATGATATTTCTAAACCAACTTTTATTTTTCATTCACGCTTTTCATCGGACTTACCTGTAAATTATTAGACACGCTAAATGTGCATAGTGAAGTAACGGCAGTTACTCAGTAGAGACGCACCGGTAAATAATTCAGCATGGATGGCTTTTCCAATATCTCCAAGAAATGTGCATTATACATATTTGTGAGTTTGATTTTAAACGTATCTTATATTTATTGTGTTCTTATTAAAGTGTCAGATCATTTAATACCTGGAACAAAAGTATTTGATTCACAACACGGGAAAGGATGGAGTTACTCTATTTACAATGAAAATTTAAGGGATTTTTCAAATGACTTTCTGGTCATAAATTCAAAAACAGGTGCAGTTTATTTGAATAAACCTGTAAATTGTGAACAATATGACAATCCAATGTATTATAGTATTTTATCCAAAAAGAGTTCATACTTAGATAAATCATCAAATATATCTAGAACTCCTTTAAAATTTATATTGGAAGGACAAAAATGCAAAGTTCCAAATCACAGAAAATTTGGAAGACGGAAAGTTAGTGACATTCATCATATTGTGGTACAGAAAAAATTTAAAAAGTGCTTTACACAGTATCAAAATATATTAACGCTGTTGGACTTTACTTCATTTAATCATCAAAGTTGTAAGATTTTGGATGTCAGTTTTGACAGTCAATCTTATTCATTCAAAACAGAAATTGGTGCTATTTTAACAACTAAAGAAATTTGCTTTAAATCCAGTAACATTACAGTATTTGCAAATGTTCTCGTATCTTGTAAAAACATATTGGAAATGGTTCCAATAAGCATTCTACTTCAAAATATGCAAGATTCAGGCAACTTTGATGTAATGTCTTTTGAAGAAATCGATATGAAGTTTAATATTCATCGACGATTTCGCAGACAAACTGAAAATAAAGAGCCTTCATTTGCCCAAACACAATACATAGCAAATGTCAAAGAGGAGCAGAATCCAGGAGTAACAGTTATATCAATAACCGCTAACGACCCGGATTCTGGAGACGCAGGTACTTTAACATACACAATGAGTGCTCAGTCGGACCAGAGAAGTGACGAAATGTTTGCAATCAATCCAATTACAGGAACTGTTAATACAACAAAAAAACTTGATCGAGAATTAATCCAGACTCATTATTTTAAAGTTGTGGCAACAGATAATGGCGATCCTCAGAGAAATGCCTATACCTTGCTTATTGTTAAGGTAAATGATGTAAATGACCATAAACCTGCTTTTGATCAAAATGTATATTACCAGAACTTACAGGAAAATGTACAACTTGGAACAACAGTAATAACGATTCGGGCTACCGATGGGGACCAGGGAGACAATGCGGTTATTACTTATAGAATTATAAATCCAACAGGCAACAATGACGCTTTTATGATAGATCCTTCATCTGGAAGTGTAACAACAAAACAAACCATAGACCGGGAAAAAATTGATGCTTATCAGTTGTTGATTCAGGCTATCGATAACGCTGATGTAACATCACGAATGTCATCAACAGCAACACTCAATATTAAAGTGTTGGACGAAAATGATAATAAACCTGTGTTTAATCAGACTTCCTATACTGTTACCATTTCTGAAGATCACAATTATAGTACTGATCCAGTGATTGCTACTGTGCTTGCTACAGATATGGACTCAGGAGTGAATAAATTAATCACATACGACATCATAGGAGATACAGGAAATACTTTCAGTGTGAACAGAAATACTGGTCAACTTTCACTGCTCCGGTCCCTTGATTATGAATCAAAAAAGGAATATGTTGTAAATATTCGAGCAACTGATGGAGGTTCTCCCCCAGAAATAAGTACAGTCACTGTTACCATTGATGTGAAAGATGTTAATGACAATGATCCTGAATTTTACTCTGCTCCTTATCAAGAATCAGTGTTGGAAAATGTAGCTATAAATTCTTCTGTTGTATTTGTAGCAGCACATGATGCTGATTCTAACGAAAACGGAGAAATCGAATACAGCATTATAAACATGCCAGTTAGCTTTCCTTTTCGCATAAATCCCAGGAATGGCGAAATAATAGTGAAGTCTGCATTAGATAGAGAAGCTGTTGAAAACTACAATTTTGTTGTTATGGCGAAAGATAAAGGAAATCCACGACGCTCTGCAACAACAAATGTGCAGATAACCATTCGAGATGTGAACGATAACAATCCAAAGTTTGTTAAGAAATTTTACAATGCAAGCGTTCCAGAAGATGCACCGATAACACATAGAATATTAAACGTGATGGCCACTGATTCTGATGCAGGTGAAAATGCTCTTATAACATATTCTATTTACAGTGGAGATAATCTAGGAATGTTTAGAATAAGCCCGTCAAATGGAGAGGGATTAATTACATTAGCTGGGAAATTGGATTTTAAGGTCCAGGGTCAGTACATATTGACAATTCGAGCAACAGATTCTCAAGGACTGTTTGACACAGCAGAGGTTGTAATAAAAGTACTTGACACCAATCAGAATAGACCAGAATTTCAGGGGACACCATACACATTTCAGGTTGATGAAAATACTGAAGTTGGTACCTCAGTGTACAAGGTCTTAGCTTTAGACAAAGACAGTGGTGAAAATGCTAGAATTTCATATCAGCTTCATGATACAACAAACTTTGCCATAGATGCCAATACTGGGGTTATAACCACCAGGGTAACCCTAGACCGTGAAGTAATGCAGGGTACAACATTTGTTGTCACAGCTAGCGATCATGGAATACCTGCTCTCACAGCCACAACAGATATTCAAGTACACATCGGAGATGTCAATGATAACGCACCAATATTTAACAAGATTTCTTACATTGCTGCTGTTAGGGAAGATGTCACTGTCGGGACTCTAGTGGTTGAAATTTCAGCAAGTGACAAAGATATTGATCAAAATGCTAAGATTCTTTATACCTTTGATAATGGCAACAGTGGCAATGGAGATTTTGAAATTGATGGTGGATCTGGAAAAATTAGAACTGCCAAACTCTTGGATCGTGAAGTTGTTCCAGTTTATCATTTAAAGGCATTTGCAAAAGATCTTGGTGTACCATCTCAATCAACTGCTGTAAATATAACCATCAATGTCCAGGATGTCAACGATAATAGTCCAGACTTTGGTCAACAAGAGAAAGAAATATATGTTCCAGAAAATACTCCCATCAAAACTGTTATTGATTATTTTTCTGCGAGTGACCCTGATGAAGGAGCTAATGCTATAGTTGAATATGAAATTCAAAACACATTGGATTTTAAATTCTTTGAATTGGATTATAAACATGGTGAGCAAGCAAAGCTGAAAAACTTAATAAAGTTTGATTATGAATCTAACCGAAAACGCTATCAAATTGAAGTGCTTGCTACATCTACACCTTTTTTTAGTCGATTGAAGATTAATATAAATGTACAGGATGTCAATGACAACAAACCAGTACTAAAAGACTTCTCGATAATCTTCAACAATTATGACGAAAAGTTTATAACTGGAGTTATTGGTCGTATACCAGCCTATGATCCAGATGAATCGGACCGAAATAAATTGGTGTATAATTTCACACTGGGAAATGAAGCAAATTTTCTACATCTTAACAGTACTACAGGGGAGATAACTCTGGATGATCGTTTAAATTCTGATATTCCAAGGAATGGTACCCTTAAAGTCAAAGTTTCTGGTGAGTATTTAAAAGTATTATTAATAATTTTAAGAAAAGGTAAACTAATTAGCTCTTTATGTCAGTTACATGTAGTAAAGCGCTGAAGAAGATGCATTTATTCAGTTTGCAAACTGCATTTTTTTACATATTTGAATACCAAAATTTACAGTTTAAACAATTGAAACATTCTTGCAGTTGATTTTGTAAACTGCCAGTGTAACAGAATCATTAACTGTGTGTTATGTTTAAAATAGTTTGCCCACTTTTTGAAAATTTGGAATGATTGTGCATACATGTATGTTCCGCAAGAAATTCACAAAAAACACATGGCTATATGATTTTCAAATTATTATGATTATTTTGTATTTGCATGGTTTTCAAAAATAACAAATGGGTAAATTTTTTCGATCTTACATGGAAGTGTCAAACCCCTTTTTAGTCAGAAGCAGACCATGTAATATTATGCAGCTTTATCAAATCTATCAACTGGTTGAAGAAGTTATCTTCAGTCAAGTGGGCCGTTAAGATTGTAAACAAACAAATTTATCATTAAAAACTTGATATCATGAACCATTGAGACAAGAAGATTTACACAGGAAATATTTAACAGGTTCAAAATTCAGGCAAATATTTAAATATTGACCCCAGAACAATTTGGCAGCAAACCTGTTGACAGCTGTATAATGTAGATGACCCATACAAAGATTGAGTATACTTAATCAAAGTGTATTTTAAAAGGAGTGGGATGTGATGACAAGGAAATGATTAAAAGATTTGTCTACCAACAGTATTGTACATGTTGTGCAAGATACAGGAACTTGGATAAAAAAAAACCTCAAAAGTTTACGTTTAATCACAAAAATAACTGTACTATTGTACTGCTAAATATTAGTTTAAATTTGTTAAAAGACATTAATCTTTAGACAAAATGTGTTAATTTATTAATTACCACCAACATTTTTTATACTTGAGAAATAAAACGCAAATCAATGATTTAATTGATTTCTAAAAGTATCTGCACAGTTTAGTACTTATAAATGCTGATATCAAAGGACAAGTATTTTTGGAACCAGTAATGTTTGATGTTCAGCAAGTGTATTGTAAACTGATGTTTGGAAAAATATTTTTATATCAATTAACAGATACAAATAATTGTTAAGGACTTTCTTGATTTTATTGACATATATAATTTCAATATGTACCTTCTATAAATTCAAAATGCATGTACAATTTTATATACTTAATGGCCTTTATAATTAGTTGATTTTAAAGATTAAAATATGAGAAGCATATACAGTCATATGGCATTTACTTTGTTTACATTTTTGAATGGTGGTTTTTAATTGTATTCCAATCTTGAGAGATAATTTTTTACCTATATTGTAGTTCAAATGACCGTGACAACCTCATTGTTATATTAATAAGGATAATAATAAAATTAAAAGTCAGGTCTTTTGTCTGACCTGGAGCCAAACTTATTTAAATACAAATGTTAAACAATTGAAAGCTCATTTTGACATGTTTTGATGTCACTACATCTACATGTACACTATCTAGTTAAAGCCTTCAGCAAATTTTGTAATTTAATTTCTTACTTAGTATATGTCTGCTAATTGAATTTTTTGTAATAAATTTAACCTTGTTAAGTGAGTTATGTCAGAGTGTTGTATAGTTTCATTTGCCTGTTAGGAATAAATCGGCAGACAGAATTAATTCAGCATTTTTTAGTTTTGCCTGAAACAGCTTGTTTATGGCATTTTATTATTTTTATTGGAACTGTTAAGAAAACAAATAAGTATGGATGATAATTTAATGAGAAAACTTATTTTTTGAAATGCATAAAAACTACATTATTGAAAAAAATAAGCGGATTTTTTTTTTTAATCAAGACATAAATTTCCCAATGCATGTGCATGACATTGGGACATAGTAAAAATGATTTCCCCTGTGTCTGCACTCATTCAGGTGGCCATATAATGTGTTTATATTGATTTTAAACCTAATAAGACCTAGAAACTGAATCAAGTATTAGTGGATAATACCACAATTTATATTCTTAAAATGCTCAAGAAAATTGATCGACCAATGTTAGCCTACATAAGGATCAACAATTTTGTGGGATTCTTTTGGTGTCATGATTCATATAACCATCAAAGGAAATTGATTTTGAAGATCAACCAAATTGTGATATTAAATCCCTGTGATAATGTTAATTTTTGTAGGTTCAGAGTAGAATTTTGATATAACTTAAGAACTTTTTATCTGAATGGTTGATAAACTATCTATGTTTACAATATAATTAAAATGTTCACTGTTGTTGATCTCCATTGGTTATGTGAGAAATACATATTCTAAGCAAGATAAGGGATAGTAACTTAAGTTATATTTATTAAAAAAACAAATTGAAGTCTTTGACTTTAATGTATTACATTTGTGGTTAATCACTGAATCCTCTTTAAAATTCAGGGCAGTATTTCATATTACCCCAGTATTGCCCAGTATTAACCGATTAAACCCAGTAAAACCCGGGTTTTCCCAATATTTCCCACTGGGCTGGGCAATACTCATAAAACTCGGGTTTTTGCCAACCCTGATAGTAAGTCAGCCTCCATTCCATTTTAAGATCTACCTGAATGCTACATTGTGTACACCACAATACATTTACATTTCTTGAGGTCAAAAATGTCTGATGGAAAAAAATTCACTATTCTAAAAGTTCATCAGTTTATATAAATGGAAACATTCAAAAATTTATATCTCTTTCTGAATTTGAACCTGTAGACAATTAATGTTTCATTTCCATTAACATGATTTAAAGTCAATTATGCATGTTTTTTCTTCAATTTGTTCACATTTGTGGTGACAGTATAGACGGATATGTAAACATTATGTAAAAGCAACTTAAATAACTTTGCTATTTAATTTTTATCCCCCCTCATGTATCTTAGGAAGCCACTACAGAACTTTCTCTTTCTGATATTTGTGATAATTATGTACATGAACAAATGTAGCTTACATCTCAAATTTAAAATTAGTATCTGGTTGATTGAATTGTGTCGAGCTCTTTTTAAGGAAATCAAATTGTGTCCCAACTGGCATTTAATTTTATTACCAACTTCTTATGATTAGAAGAACCCATTGGACTGTTAAAAGTTTCAAAATTTGCTTGACTTTGTCCAATTTGAACAATAAAAATCAAATAAGTATTCATCTAGTAGAAATGTAATACTATTGAAACTTAAATTTAAAGAGATTGGCGGCATTTTATTGAAATTAGCTGATGGAGATATTGTCAGATTCTATAACAGATATTGTAAAGGTTTGTATTGAAAATTAAAGTCGGCTGTACATTTTTCCAGCACATGTCATACTTATTCAGATCATTAAATAAATAGCCCATAGGCCACTACTGTCATGGACTTCTTTTATTGTGCATTCACATATATTGGAAGTCTTTTGTGATAAAAAATTTTGGACAAAATTTAAATTGCCATTTTTGAAATTTTCACAACTATTTCAGTGGTTTTATCATGTTTATTAATGCTACAATAAACAAAACTTTTGTCATAATTGAAATATTTTAATAGTCTGTTTATGTAAATAATTGCAAAATGCAAAGTTAGTTATCATTGCATTGTATGATAAATAGAAATAAAAATGGTTTCTTCAGACTGTAAATCAAGTAGAATATACACCTGTTCAATGTGAAACTCATCTGACTTTCAGTTTGTTTCTTAAAAAATCTAAAAGCTTACTATTTCATTTATTTTCATTTGATAGTACTATAAACAGAAGACTAACATTTCATTTGTATGTATTTGATAGTAATATGAAACTTGTGCATAAAACTAAATTAAAAGTTTCGTTATTGATACAGTTGGATACTTTTATGTAAATAGTTCAAATTTCTGTTGATGGTGTTTTGCACCCAATATTTATAAGAAGGAAATTTAAAAGGAATTTTCAATAAAAAAGATAATAGTGTTTAATATTAAAGGTATACATGTATATATGAACTTTAAGTTGTGTTATGACCACTACCTTAAAATCAAATTTACCCAAGGATGGGTTCATTTTAAGTACTGTAATAGCTTAAAAGGTTAATGATTTACAAAAATGATCTGGTATTATAAAGATAAAATGCATGATTACACTCCTGTAAGCCTTTGAATTTATCTTGAAAAAGCAGTCTTACATACATGTACATGTACATGATAAACATTTGTACAAGATATTGGATATGTTTTTCTAAAGACCTATGAATATTTAATTTTTAAGTTTTAATAACACAGATAAAAAAATGGTGATTTTTATTTTAGAAAAAAAGGAGATGTACTTGAAGGTTGTAGATTACCTTTATGATCATTTGGCAATATAAACATAGTCTAGACTTAATTTTACAACAATTTTGTTTAACTAGTTCCTTCTTATGAGGATCAGATTTATTGAATGCTTATATGAATACATGTATAAGGAGATGTACATGTAGTATGACTGCCAATGAGACAACTATCAACCAGAGTCAAAATGATGTCATGAATTTAAGCAACTATAGAATACTATAAGTCTTTAACAAAAAACAAACCAGTACTGCACAGCCAGCTTTAAAAGGCCCCAATATTTATACAGCCTTTTTCAGTTGTGATGAAAAATGATGATGTTTCTTAACTTTTCATTTCACTACATGCATGAAAAAAAGTGGTAGTTAATTCAACTGACAACTATGGTTCTCTCAGCTACCTTCTAGAGTTGTGGAGGTAAATCATATAAAGGAACTGGGGTTTACAGTCAACATGTAGTTGCCAACAGTTTGGGTAAATAAGGATACATACAAAAATAAGAAGATGTGGTATAATTGCCAATGAGACAACTCTCTACCTGAGACCAAATGACATAGAAGTTAACAACTATAGGTCACTGTACAACCTTCAACAATGAGCAAAACCCATACTACAAAGTCAGCTTTAATAGGCCCCAGAATGGCAAATGTAAAACAATGTAAACGAGAAAAGTAACAGCCAGATTTATGTAAAAAACAATGAACGAAATACAAATATGATATAAAGCAACAAACGACAACCACTGAATTACAGGCTCCTGACTTTGGACAGGCCTACATGGCCCTTTACTCACTATTTCATAACGCTTTTGATTTATTTAAACATTGAATAAGTGATGTTATAAAGAATTGGAACACCTGCAGGAATTATACCAAACCAGGAAATCTCTCATACAATGGGTTAAAGGTTTCCAGTCACATAGGAAATATTTCGCTCTCAAGTATCTGAGATTTCCTAGTCTTGTAATCCTGAGGATGATAGATTGTTAATAATTCTTTACAAATATTAAATCTAGACTGTTTTTCATATGATGATAATAATAGTCATTTTGCACTTGAAATATTTTTTATTTTGTAAATAGCTTTGTATAGATTGATCTGCAACATTTTTTTGGACAGCATTTAAATATTGTATTCATATATTTATCAGATGTAGACCTATTTTCATATGACTCAAATTTCTTTCATAAATGTTAAAGAATGTAGAAATGAAATATGTGAAATCTTAGATTGTTAAAAAGGAAAATATCAAATATAAAATTTCAGTCATGCTTTTCATTTTCTATAATTATTAAATGCTCATTTACAGTTGTTAAACTGTCACATTTAAAAGCTAATGCATTTTTCATATGTATTTATACATGTTAAGAAAGAAAATCCTTTCACAAATGTTAAAGTATTAGAAAAAAGTGAGTTTTGAACCTGAAAATCAGCAGTCAGTTGGTCAGGAATTTGTACTTAAATTTTTTTAAATATAAAAAAAAAAATCAGTGTTGTTGTGACATGGAATATAATTTAGATCAGTGTTGTCTTTCTGATCGTTTTTTATTTTGATTAAGTAGGTCTCTGGGAGAACATTTTTCATTCTGTTAACAGTAGGTGGCCTATGGCAAGGCAACATTTCTGTCTATTTCCAACATACCCTCATTTTCCAGTGGCAGGTTCTAATTTCCAAACTAGCTTATATTCTTGTTGACCTACATTGTACCTTGCAGAATCAACCTATTGTATTTATCTTGTTCTCGATCTGATTATGCATGAAATATTTGCCACTAGACATTAAACAAGTAACAATTAATTAACTCAATAATTATGTAAATGAAGAACGTGTATTATTCACAGAACAATGCCTTGCACAATTCATACAGATTCTAAGCTTACTTCAAATAAGGTTATTATTTGCCAAAAGTTATTTTTCCTAAATGTGCTTGTGTCCCATTCAAAGGTCAGGTCAAGGGTCAAGACGCCCAACAGTGGTCATTGAAAAGGCAGATTTCTGAAAGCAGGTGTACCATATTGTCAAAAATATCTGAAAGTTTTAATCTTTTCACCCATTGAATGTCGATTGATGGATTTTAATGTTTATAGGTCTCACACATATATCACCTGGTTGTAAGATTTAGCACTAGACAAAGTCAATAGAGCAGATAGTGTAACAACTTAAACAAGTCAACACAATAAAAGATATTATGACACCATCAAAGGGGCAATAATTATAAACAAATATATATGTAAATAAGTCTATGCCTTTTATAAACAGTTATAGTATTATACAGTCTTCTCCATGGTACAGTTCATTGCTTCTTAAAACAAGCCTTATAAACATAAATAAAGTATTAAATGATTTTTCAATGGAATTATATACCCTAGAATGGATATTTCCATTTCACATGAAAAAATAACATTTATTTTAGGATATTTAGGGTCATTGGTATATCAATTTTGTTGAAAGATTGCCAGCAGGCAGTTAACACACCAAAAATTTGGATAATTTATTATTATATACCATGCTATGAAGAAGTTGGGTTTCATAGTTTTCGACCCATCCGTCCACCGATCCTTTTCTCATCTATGTCTACATTCAAGGTTAAAGTTATTGAAATAGACCAAACTTAGTGCTGAAAAAGTCAGTTTCTGGATGCTAAACCAAATACTTTTTCTTTATAAGTAACCACAGGAATACTTACTCATACCCTCACATTTGAGTTAAGAGATGTTGTTCCCTCAAATTTAAATCAGTTCACCTGTATTGCATAAAATATACAGTAGAAAAATTTGGGAATTTTGATTTTTTTTAGAAACAACAATATTTTTATTCAGTAACTGTTAACCCATTTTTACTTCTTCACTTTTATGCATGTACATTATAATCAGCAAATTTTATAGATATAAATTCCATATATTTTCAGATGGACTCAATGAGGCAAAAGCAACATGTTATTTGTATGTTAGATATGTTTCCATGGAAATGCTACAGAATAGTGTAACTATCCGACTCAGCAATATGACAATAGCAGCATTCATGTCACCATTGTATGATTTCTTCGTTGATGCCTTGGCCAACATTTTAAAGACGGAGGATAGATTTTTATATGTAATAAATATTGAGAATGATACAGATGTAAAAAGTCAAGTGTTGAATGTTAGTGTGTCTGTTAAGAAGAATGATGGATCATTCTACAATGCTGAATACATACAAGAACAAATCTATATTCACAGAGTAATACTAGCTGAACTCTCTACATTAGAGGTAAGTAAAGAGCTACAGCAAATATTTACACCCTCCAAGGGTTGGTATGTTTGAGTGTTGGGTAGTAGCTGTATGGATACCATTAAAATCACTCTTGCTGGTGTAGAGTGATTCAATGTGGATTGAGTGTGGAACACAGTGATTGTTGGTGATTTAGAGTGATAGCACTCTGATTGATGACCCTGTATCATAATATATCACTTGTGTATAAATAATAGTTATACAAAAAGAAATTTCAAGATTGATTGATTGATTGGTGTTTAACGCCACTTTCAACACTATTGTGCTATTTCGTGGTGGTCAGTTTTTATTGGCGGCGGAAGCCAGAGTGCCTGCAGAGAACCACCGACCTTCGGTAGGAAAACTGACAATCCTAGTCAATTAAGATTGGAGTCCAGTGCACCTGCCCCGTGTGGGATTCGAACTCACAACCTCAGTGTTGACTGGCTGGTGATACAGTAGTTTGACTACTTAGACCACTCGGCCACCGAGGCCCCCAAAAACTTTAGAATAATAGAATAATACACCCATAATCACCAGCATTCACTGTGAAAGTTAACCACTAATAGTTTTTAATCTAAATCAAGTCGTTTGAAAACAAAATCCTTCTGAACTACAGCATTAACATTTGTAAAAAAGACTCTTTCAAATCTATTTCTTACATATATTTTTAACTTTTGATTCATTCATTGACTTGTCATTTTAGTTAATCTTTAAATTCTTATTAAAATTGTTAAAGAGCAGTCAAATTGCAATTATTTGTCAACAGGTTATTGAAATAAGAAATGATTAGTCATACCAATTAAGAGGAAAATGTCAGATTTCAATACAAATCAATCTGTGGAAACCGTTAATTACAATATTCTTTATATGGGAATTATATGGGTGTAAATTGTATAAACTTGGTAGGTAATGTCACTGTTAAATTGCATGTTGTTTGTTGATAAAATTGTCAAGTAATTGCCAGGTAGCCACTTCACCTGTAAGTGTTTAGATACCAGGACAGTTATATACCTGTCTATATGGTCAGAAAATCAAAAGGCCAGCTGAGCTAAGCAATTACAGGACAAATACACTGTTGTCTCATTTCAGAAACCTTTGAATTGGTTTGATTGGGATTTAAAAGTTCTTTAAGCTGTTTTTTTGGTTTTTAGTATTAGATTTTAATTAAGATTTGGATCCACATTAATATTGTACTTTTATTAAAAAATATTCTTCTTTTTCAGAGTTCAACTTATGCTTAGTAAAACATGTTTGAGTATTATTTTTAAAACACTCCAAGAAAAATAACAAAGCAGTGTCTTAAGTTTGATCCATAATACAAAAACAATTTTAATGGAACTAATTTTAAAGAATTATGAAGATTTTAAATAATTTAGACATTGTTGCTATGTATCTAATAATTTGCAATTAAAACTACCTGAAACATGCAACAAATTAGAAAAAGCTGATGACATATCTTTACGTAAATGCCTTGAAAATGGGTTTTGACGTTTACACTTTAAAAGGAATAAAAAACGGATTAAATGGTTAATCAATAAGATGCAATTTAGTTACTATGGTTTTTTGCCACATCACTAATTCTGCAACTTGAGGATTTTCAAAGACATTTTCTAGAGGCAGTTTCTTTCATTTGCTTACCAATTAGATGGTGTTGTCATCATTTGATGTCCATCATTATGTACCAACTGTTTTACTAAAGAAGAATTAATTGTTTTCATAAAATTTAACAGTAAAAGTCAAATTGACAGAACCGTCAATGCAATTACGAAGCTCCCCTACAAATGCATGTTGATTGAGGATGTCCTTGAGTTGTTTGATCCAAGAACAGCTTCTTACAATATTGAAAAGAAACCTTGTCAGTGACAAATATTGACCTCCTCATATCTATCCTACTAGCTTTAGTAGTAATGAGGCATGAGGAGCTTTCATAAACTAGAGAATCAATATTTTTATTATAAAATGGTATTAAAGAATCAAGAATTAACATGAGTAATGAATGGTAGTTTAAAGTATATTAACATGGAGAGGTAGATATGCAGATTGAAAAGTTTTTTTGTTGTTGAGTGTTGACTCAGGTTTACTACTTATCTTTAGGTAGACATTTAAATTAAATGAAATAAATCAGAAGGATTTATCAGAAATGATTTCTAGTTTGTTAGGTAAAGCCATAAAACATCCATACACACTATTTTTCAAAAGAAGTAGTGAGAAATTAAATACATTTATACCCCAAAGTTTTTGTAGTAGGTAATACAGTCAAGTTATAGGTTTCCTACACCTATATCCTGTTGTATACATGTATTGTATATGCATATTGCAGTATAACATTACAATTTTATTTTAAAAAAGTATACCTCTTTTTACTTGCCATACACCCACTCATGTTTTTCAAAAGAGGTCATTTAATTTCTTGTGTAACCATTACCATGTGTGGGACCGTTACAGCCTCTACCCAAAATCTGTTTTGTTGTCTCCAATGGCATTCCATACATAAAGAGATAAGCTGTTTTTCTATTGATTTCAAATTTCAGAAATTTTTGCTCAACCTAAGGCAGTTTATTGTTATGATCTTCACATTTACGGTGTAGTTTGAACCTATTTTGAATATTGAAATCATAATAATGGCAATTTTGGAGGGGTGGGCTTCCATTCTCTGTCTGACCCACACATTACAGAGGTCTATAACTACTTAACATGTTGAGAATTTGAATATGCTTCAGGAACCACTATTTCTGGTTGCATGTCCCAGTACAGTAAAACATATAAAAGTCTGGGTTTTTGTTTGAATTGACCTTCTGAAGACTGCCATACCTAGAGCAGTTTTCTGCAGAGTCTAGCAATTTGTGAATATGCTTGGACCCATTGTCCAAGAAAAGTCTCTTTGTACATAACTAGATTTTGGAAATGTAGCATCTAAGGGACCATCTGTAAATGCCATACTTTTTGTTCATGTGTAATTACACAGTTTTCAAAGAGTACATAAATGAAAGAGTACATTTTCAGAATAAAGCTCTACCTTTCTGAATTCTACAATGAAATAACCTTAGATATATTAAACAACCCTAAGTTTGTCTTGACTCTGTATTAAATTTACAATATATTATGTTACAGAATTCTCTATCAATACAGCTCTGATTATATTATAGAGGGTAAATCACTGATATTTAAGTTTCATAAAAAAATGAATGTTTTTATTTATTTTCTATAATGTATTAATTAGATTTTCTTGCCATATCATAGAATTCTGCTTCTTTTCAGGTTCTACCTTTTGATGATAATGAGTGCTTGGTAGAGATGTGTCCCTACTTTGACAACTGTATATCTAGTCTATCCTATGGAAGTGCAGAACCCTTTGTTAGTTCAGATATGATGTTGTTCAGGCCTATACGACCAGGAAATGGATATAAATGTGTTTGTCCATTAGGGTTTGCAGGTAAGCTAAAATCAATCTATTAAAGAATTCTGATAGGGGACCATTTTGAACTTGCAGAGCTAGCTTTTAATCTGTTGAAGGCATCACTTAGACTTCAGATGAATACACTATATATATAAATATTTATTTCATAAACTTATCAAAATTGATGAAAGCTAAAGATTAAGTAATAACTTATTTAGCCATATACACAGGGGTTTCATTATTTTTTTAGACTGAAGGTACCTTTGAGATTATAGGGGGAACCAAACCTAAATGGCAAGGGGTCTGGGGGCCACTTAAGGCCCCCAGTGGGTCCAGGGCTAGCCCTGGTAGGGGGACCAGGGGGGCTTCGGCCCCCCAGAAGCTCATGGATTTTAGGGATTTCAGCCTTAATTTTTTACTTAAAAAAAATAGGGTAAAGTCTGTAATATTTGCTTCAATTTTGGGTAAGTTAACATTGAATTGGTTTTCTAGACATGCTAGAGTAATCATCTGAAAATACATTGCTTATAATTATTTTGTAATCAGTTATAAAATATGTATGACCATGGAAGTATTATATTATTGTCAATATAATACTTCCATGGTATGACCTATAATGCAGGGGTTTCATGTGAAATGTTGTTTAAATGTTTTGTTCGTTTTTATACTTTTATTAAAAGTTTTGCATTTGTTCAATTTTGTGAATGAAATTTCATAAGTTACATAGTATATTATTAAAAAAAATTGATGATAAAACTTGTAACTTTTTTTATTGCTTTGTTATAATCATAACTGTGTCAATTGTTTGTGTAGGTAATTTAACAGTGTCATGCTCATGCAAACAATTAAACAACATGAACAATAAACATGCTCTCATGCAAAACAGCAAACAAACGTTTTTGATATATGCTAAGTGTTGTGATGGTTGTTCTTGTCAGAAAAAAAAACATGTATTCAACTTTCACTTAACTTTAATATTTATAAAAAGGGGTGATTGTGAAAAGGGGGGGGGGGGGGGGGGGGGAATTAATCATAGGATTCTTGACTATAGTAAGTATAAATGTTTTTTTTTCACTTCTTCAGAGCTGTCTTTTTTTTTAATTTTAGAAGTCTTAAATCTCGTCAGATATTATATTTTGTAAACGTAACAGTTGTGTTAGTTCAGATTGTTTCACGAAGTCTTACACTAAAAAATTCAATCACAACATAGAACACATATCGAGAAGAAGGAGATCAGTGACAACGTCCAACGGGAAACGAACTGATTTAATACGATTAACGATTTTCTGAATTTCATAGAATGTTCACCTTTATTAAACCTTTTATTCATAAAATAATCTGTGATACAAGCTGCTTTCCTTTTATTAGACATAATATTGCTGTTGTTGTTTAAATTCATCAACAATTTGCCGCTTGAAAATATACTGCTAAATCGTCGCATTTTAAAGCGCTCTTACGATACAGATACAGACACATGGTTTATAATTATCACTTCTCCTACTTTGGAGGTGTACCTAAATTGGCAGAAGATAGATCTATACTTTAACCCGGACCTCGACGAAGACACCTTTAAACATACACATGAACGGCGTAGAAAGGAGATTATCAAGGAATGAAAGAAATTAGATTTGAACGATCTTCAAAAGAATTTTACACATTTTTTTTTGTATTTTTATTTTTTCTGCCGGTACCAGACGCTTCCGTAGGCGGGTAAAAGTACCGGGTACCGGGTCTTAATGAATGCACTGTATACATAGTTATAATTTGATTGCAATCAAAATACAATCATTGTCTCACTTGTACACTTGTATACTTTGGTTTTAGTTATTCAGTCTTTATTTTCATTGTAGGTAACAGCTCAGCTTTTTGTAGTTTGGAAGTGGACTTATGTTATAGCAACCCTTGTAGAAACAATGGCCAGTGTATAAGAAAAGAAGGAGGCTTCACATGCAAATGTGCACAGAACTTTGCAGGTACAGAAAATAAAAAGATGTGTGGAGGGGTCCATCGAAATATTTGGCCTACAAGGGAGTCACAACTAAGACAAGATTTTGAGGGTTGGCCTCCTTGGGCCCGTGGATCCACCATGGGTTTCCCCATCTTTTCAGAATAATAGATTATTTGTTGTCTGTATCAAAACTCAGAAAAAGAACTGAATACACCTGACCTTAGACAGGATATGATATTAGAAAAATTTGATATAAACATTTAAAAGAAAACCAGTTATATCATGAATTTGCCGCTCCAAATTTTGATAGTAAAGCTCTATTAGTTTGTTAGGTTATAAGATGAATCAGTTTCCATTTTGAATTGGGCCAAAATAAAAATATGGTATGTTTGCCCAAACGCGACCGACCCAAAAAAAACCTGCCGACTCAAATTCTTTTTTTTGCCGTTTTTTTGAAGAATTTTTTTTTTTCGGATCTTTTTCGTGTCCGCTCCGTCATCGTATAAAACTTAATGTTCGTCGTCTTTGCGTTTGAAAGTAACTGTGAATAAGATAAAAGAAAGCGTGTAAGAGACGCAGTTAATCGATATTCGATGTTCTCGGTTTTTATCTTCTGATTTAACGAACGGTTACTTTTGCTTTGGCGCCGGCTACTTCAAAATTGACAAAAATAATATTTTCACAAAGTTTTCCTTTTTTACCAAGTCGATGAAACATTGATAAACATTGAAGAACAGAGATTTAAGCATTGACTTTACAGTGTGAAGCAGATTATTTAATAAAAAGACAACTTTTTATCACTTCATTCACTTCCGGTACTTGTTACACGAGATCGTACATCAATCTAACTTTCGGCGACAAAATAAGTTTGTTACTTCATTTGAACGTGATAAAATTTGCCTCCAGTAAATGTTTAATCCATTTATTGCATTAAAAACGTTATATTCCTTTCCAAATAGCTTGTCAAACATCGTTTATTTTTGTAAATTTTATCGTCCGCCATTAACTGTTTTCTAACTACGGATCGGAAACGGACCAGCTATGACCGAAATCCGTATTTTTACAATAATAACTACGGACGCATGAATGGAACAGCTGACAAGGAAATTGGTCCAAAATGGAAAAATTGCGCATACCACACGCATTAACAGACTATTTGTTAGATTTACTTGATTAATGTATATAATTCCATATATATGGATTGTTTCAAAATATTGATTAAACTTGCTTAATTAACTCTGGGACTATAATACTAATACCAATATATATGGCCCAGCTTATCTTTGTATATCTTTTGATGAGAAACACTGAATTTCATAAACATGATAAACAAGATAGTTTTTTAATTGAATTGTGATTTATATATTATAATTTCTTTATCTTTTTGTCATAAAAAAAAATCTTTTTAGTGCTAGATATTTAGTTGGTAGTTTCTCACAAGAACCTAAACTTAAACAATTTTGAATTTGAACTTTTACTTTAATTGTATACTCAGATATGAATTGAACAATATAAAAAATACATTATTCACATATGACCCTTTGTACTATAGGTAGTAAAAACCAAACATTGTAGCACAGTGTGCAAAGGAGCACTTCTCCCTATCAGTTTCAAAAAGAGAAGTCACTTCTCCCTATGATTCTGAAGTAGTGTGAGCCCTGCATGATTATGTATTTAAGGATGTACTTAGGTCAGGTTTTGGAATTTCTGTCAGATGTTTGGACTCTGGTTTTTTCCTACGATACAGGGTAAAATATTTTGCCCCATGACCCCCATTTTTTTCCATATATAATACTTCAATTAATAGCTCATAAAAGGTCATATACCAAAATTTAAGCAGATTGTAGATTTCTTCTCTTTCCATTAGTTTGCTTCTTAACTTAAATGCTCTTGAAGTCCTCTGACTTATAGTATCAATTTTAAATTCTACATTTTTCTAATTTCACCAAAGTACATCCTTAAAGAGTTCACCTTTTTGCCTGCAACAGTCCAATTCATCATCTGATTTATTGTAATAAGCATGTGAAATTATTAATACTGAGAAATAAAAAAAAATGTCTATGGGTTCGAATTATTTGAATAATTGCATGTCTACAGTTAAACTAAAAATATTTTCAACTAATAAGATCAAATTTGAATCTTTTCCTGAATGATCACCATGTCTTACAGAGTCATCCTTCATCATTTTCCTCAAACAACTTCAACTACTTGTTAGCTGAAAGTCTTGTTATAGTGATAATAATATTTATGTGATCAACTTTATAGAAAATATGTGACCATCTTGCTGCTCATTTACCTTATCATCATTAAAAAAAATGGTGTTTGATTAGGACTAAATTAGAGTTCAGGAGCCCCCAGAATGCAGGATTTTTGCACCATTTTAGAAAAAAAAAACCTCCCCGTGATGGGCGACGAGAAAGCTCATCGCACCGACAATCCTTGCCTGCTACTTTAATTATTAATCCTGCTACTTCAAAACCTAGTGACATCCCTGTAAAGAAGTAAAACATGTGAAAATGGCAGACAGTTTTTCATGGCTTTTGATTGTCTCTACAAAGGTTTGACGGAAAAAAATATTTTCATGCAAATTCTGATAAAAAAAAAAGAATTTGCCTACCTACCTACCCACACCCAGTCATCATGGGTCGGGTTTGGGCAAACTGAAATATTTTTAATTGTGGCCTTGTCTATTTATATATAAAACAAATCTTAATATCTGCTTCCATGTTGTAATAAAATATCACAAATCATTGTAAATAGCACATAACTTGACTCCTGCATTATGGGAAGAATAAAACTGATGTAAATTAAAATTTGCAAAGTGCAGAACTAAAAATATTTCTAATAGAAATCCATCAATAATGTTATAAGGATGTATGTTTTTGTTTTAGAAAAGAAGGCTGTATACAGTGCATTGGTTTTACGAAGTTAACTGTAAAATAATTTTCACCCAATCATATCTATTGTCAAGGGAGATCAATGATCTATTCTGATACAGAGTCATCTTGATCCTGTCAGACTATGCTCAATGTTTCACTATTGATATTCTTGATGTAAATAATTCCATTACAGTTGTAGATTGATTTTTGTGACATAACTATTTCAATTGCATAAAATCTACTACTCAAAACATCTCTAACTTGGTCGATCCTTAGGCTAGTTGGAGAAGTAGGAGGAATTCCATGTAAGTGATTGACATCTCCCTTGACAAATGTTGGAAGCAATTTACTCTTCCAATAGATAAAGTTCTGTAAAAAGGAACAGAGTGCCCATTTGTAAAATTAACTAGTTTATAATTTACCCTGAACACTTTTCAGTAACTGTCATGATATTGTAGGATGTAAAAGATTTATTATGTAATCACCTTTATCAGGCATGCTCAAGACTTGAGGAAGCCAAAAATATCAAATGTTTTAGAGAAAAGAAATCAATAGGACAATACAATACAAACAAAAAAACTGTTGAAGATCAACTATGCTTTTGGGAGTAACATTTCAGTAAAATTTGAAAAAAAATAAAATTATGCCAGAGCTTAAGCTGGTGTACATTCTAACAGTGAAAACAGCAAATACTGAAATTTTTAAAGTATGTATACATACTTTTTTTCTTCATATTCTTAGGTAATAATAATATAAATAATACAGGTAGAATTTAAATGTCAAAAGATGTGCAGCTGATCCATTTCAACACAGTCCAAGGAAGATTTGTTGACATATGAAAAATGTTGATTCATGCTGTGTTTAAGAATACCTTTAGCACTTATATATGACAGTGTCAATATTCAGTGTTATAAATTTTAAAATTTATGTCACAGGTATAAGCTATCAGTATGCATATCCTCACTGATACACAATAATCCAAAAAACTCTTTTGCACATTTTTTACAAAAGAAGCATTGAATATTTATGTTGTTTGGGTGTTTGGGTTTTCAGTAATCTGTCTTGTACACAATGGACTTGAATATATTTTCCCTGTATAATTACCTAACACAATATCATATGATATGATAGTCCTATTCACATTGTTACTATTACCCTTTGTTTAATATTCAATGTGCCATTTATCACTCTGCTATTTCAATACATCACCAAACATTACATAAAATGAAGGAAATTTGGTACATTCAAACAATGAGTACAGAATATAGGTAATCAGAGATGAGCCCAGGTTATGTTAAGATTGTGGTTGATAATATTTAAACCTTTTGATATATATCTGTCAAAAAGAAAACATATCCTATATTATGGCAGGTACTTTTTGACATGTACATACAGCTATTGTGGTTATTCAGTTATAATTATTTCATTATATTTAATAGTAGATTTGGCCTAAAATTTATGGGCAAAGTAGATAAATTGTAAGGGTTATTTAGCTAGGTCAAGCAAGGCTATTGGGATGTGAAGTTGTTTTTGATGTGATTGCATTCCTGTAGTAAAGAAGATATGGAGCCCACCAAAAGGAGATTTTCTGACATACTAAGGGATGGGTATCTCCAGTGCCTTTGTCAAATAAAATTAGTACATTTTGTTGTATATAAATATTTTCAAATGTTCTCTCAGTTAAACAGTTTTCTATTTTGCATCATTTTTAAGTTAAATACAATTGATATTTTCTTAGCTTCCAAAACATTTTCACAGTGCTATTTCATTAATGGTCCTATATGTATGAAAAATAATGTGTTTGGCTATGGTTGACAGATTAGAAAAGAAATGTTTCTCTCAAGTCTTTATAAATGTAAAGCTAACTGTGGTGAACCTTTTTGTTATGGTGTGTGAAAATATTAAATGACATCATGTTTACAAGCACATTGTCAAATATTTGTAATAATAGAGCAAGTATATTTCAATGATTTCCATGTTTGGTTGGTATTACATGCCTTGGGAAAGTCAAACACATTATATAACATCTATCAAAATACACTTTTCTCCAGCAAAATATTACAAATTTAATTTGATAAGATTTGAAATGAAGATGGTTAATATCATTTCCATATTATTGGCAGTGTTCCTTCAGTTTCATCATACAACAATATCAACTGAATTATAGACGGGTTGCAAAGTGTTACGTATTTTTATCTATTAATAATTGATATAATGTACAGAACAGTAGACAGAATATAGCGTGATACAAAATGTCATTTAGCATAGAATATATTGATATTTTTAGGGGATACAGTTCCTCACGTTTAAATTTCCATGAAAACCTTCCGTCTTTTGCATGAATTATAACCGATTCTATGTAATTCAATGAATATAGAATGAATTATTCAAGTGTTTTGGGCTGTTTATAAATCCTAAAGGTTAAAGCATCTTGATTGCTAACTCCATAGGTTACACACAGAACACACAATGCAGCTTTAATTCTGATAATGTGTTCATAGTTCCCACAACACCTTGAAAATGGAAATAGCCTGAAATAGTATTTCAAGTTCAAGGCCTGGAAATGTCTTTGAAATTCATGAAAATGACAAAAATCCTGGAAAATCCTTGAATATCTAACATATTAATAATAGCAGGTTTTGAAATCAAATTATTTCCTTATCACAATTCCACACCTGGTTAATGTACATGTAGACCCTTTCAAAATTTTTGTAGGAGGTGACATTTTTTATGCCTATTATTATAGCACTAAATTACTGACCATGACTTAAGTCTACAGAGAGATTATTAAAAAGGGGATTGATTGTAGCTTCCTAAAGTTATATTGTCTTTGTCATAAGAAATATATTGACTTTTTCAACTATGTCTTATGATACTCTCCTTGAAATTGATTGACGTCCAGGAGAAATCTGAATATTTTGTTGTAAAAAGAAGGAGAACCCAGTGTTATGAGAAATGACTTTTTATGGACTTTTAATTGATATAGAGAGCAAAACTAAAAGATAGTGCTTATGTAGTCGTTGATGAGTTATTTGGCAATCTTAAGCAAGGATGATAATAAGCACTTTATGACTAACATATCAAAAATTGGTTGTTCATCCCATGTTATCCCATGTAATTTGTCATTAGTTGGTTGTTCATTCCATGCATTAAAGTCCAATTAAACTTAACAGATTTGAAATTATAAGGATTTACAGATTGTGGCATTAAATAATTCCAAACAACTTCAATTTAACATAAAATTAATCAACAGTTCATTCACATATTTTACATATACATGTTAAATCAGAAACTTAAGTGTGAAATTTTTACTTCTTCTGGTATACTTGTGATAAACTTGGCCAATATTAGTACGCTTGTACCAGTTTGATCAGTTGTTTCCTTCAGTTTGTTCATCGTTTTCAATAGACAACATATGGTAAAAAGGGGCAAGCCAAAAACATTTTTTTTTGCTTTCAAATCAACAGTATCTAACAACCTTTCCTAACACATGCTTACAAACTATTGACTATCTTTCCATTTTTCTTTTTCAGGAAAATTTTGTGAGATCAATACCAAAGAAAAATTTGATGTAACAAATTGTCCAAATGACCTGTGTCAGAATTCTTTCCCATGTGTACCTCTCATCAATGGTGGATTTAGATGTGACGGCTGCCAGCAAATACATTACAATGAATTCTGTCAACTGACAACTCGAAGGTTCACCAAAGGATCTTATCTGACATTTCCATCGTTGAAATCCAGGAACCGATTTAAGATAGAATTAAGGTAATAAGGGGAATTAAATTATTCTGACAATTTGATCTGTTAGAAAAGATTAGTCCAGGAATAGAGTATTGAATTATTGAATAGGTCGGTCTTACTGGAAAAGATTATGAATGATAAGACTAATTGGATTAGTCTTTTATTCTTCTGAAATCTCCTAATAAGTATTGAGTTATCAGTAAGTTCATATTGGATGGTGATTGTTCGAGGCCAGCAGTATCTATAACTGGAATCAAATGGTCTTTCTGTTCTTGATTGGAAAGCACAAAATCAAGGAAGTCAAGTCATTATTAGAAGCTCTAGGGAAGAAAATTTAAGTGAAACACTTTTTGTGGCATCAGTGAACAATCATCGTTTCTTGCTAGATCAATGTTTTCTAAACTTGTTTGAATGGGTACATATGTATTACTATAGAGTTACTGTTCATATTTCCTACGTGATTATTACATGAAAGTGTTTGTTATAAACACATAAAACTAAAATTCCTTAAAGTAAATTGTTACATTTACATATCACATTGTTGTGCAGTAACCAACGTAAGAATTCTAGATTTATGAAATGATTGCATTCTATTTCTGTAGACAGATGGTTAATTCCTGTAGAAATACTTTTTTTTGTCTTGCAGCATCATATCATTATAACATCATTCTACCAGTTCTTAATGTCATAAAACTGAAGAACTTAATTTATTTTAAGAAAAAAATACATATTAATGTCAAGATTTTATTTAGAATACTTATTTCAATTGTGCCATTGTATAAACAAAAATTTCTTTAGTCTGACATTGATTATAGTATAAAGAAATCAGAATTTCAAAAATCTGTTTTATAGATGAGTCATGAAATAAGGGTAAAAAAACAAACAAAGGAAAATTTTACCTTTTTCAGTGATTCTTATATTGTTTTGGTAAATATTTTGCCATCTTGTGACAAAACATTGTCAACTAAATAAGTTGTTTTGATAAGAAGAGTTTAAATGGAGAGATTTAAGTTTAAAGATATTTCCAGAATTACTTACGCAGACCCTTTTGTAATATGACAATGAAAGGAGAAACTGAAATTGCTCTGAAAATTAACCAATTATTATTCACTTTTTGATGACCCAGGAACTCTACAGAACAAACAGGGCAACAATTAGATCATTTTCTTTAAAAATTTTTAGCAAGAGAAGTGTGAAATACGGCTATTTTCTATTAAGAAAGGTTAAAAGCAATTGTTCATTTATATATCTCGTCTTTCTAAATTTAAAAGCCCCTTCTAAATTATTTTTTGGTAATTTAGTTAAAATTGTATGTAGAGGGCATACACCATGTGAAACTAACTGTTTTGTTATTTGACTATGAAGGAGATTTTGCAACAATTTACCAGTTCTAGACCTGGCTTTTTTTCCCCTTCTTTATAACGTTTATTGTCAGTCAACAAATGAGTATATTGTAGGCTTTATTCCTACCCACTGGCCACACTCAAAACAAGTTTTATACTGTTTGATCAACTTTTCAAATTAGAATAAGCTTGTATTTTACATTTAATTTCAACAAGACTTGAAACTGTTGGTTGTAACTTTAAATATAAAGTAAACATGAATATTTTGCAGAAATTTTTTGGGCGATTTCAATGCACGTTGTTTTTGCAATGGGATTGAATCTGAGTAAGTCAATAAGTGTGCTCTTTACATCATTATGGTAGATGTGAACAAAAATGATGTGAACTGTTCACACCGTAGATATTTTCACACATTTTATGTGATCTTTAGATAAGAGAAAAATAACCCCCACAAGGAAAGTTGCATGTTAACATTAGACGGGTAAAACAAAAAAGTGTTGATGAAATTATTAATAACCAAGAAACCAATGTACAATAAATATTTCAATTGACCATTGAGGATATAATTTGCAATATAAATTGTAATTTTGTGAGGAAAGAAAGTTTCATTATTGATTATTCTTGTGGGAATTTAATATGAACTTTGTAGGCCATTACAAGTTTTATTGTTTTATTGCCTATCACTATGATTAATACGGGAAGTTTTCCCAATATGTCAATATTGTATTTAGTCTCAAATATTGTAACAGTGTTTTTTAACATCAAAATGATGTGAAATTAGATCTTGAAAAACTGACAGCAAAAATGACATTGTGTTTATTGAATATAAATCATATCATGCTTTATTTGCAGTCTTCTTTATGAACCAATAAAGGAATTCAAAAATGAAATATGCTTATGCTTAAAAAAAGGGGGAGGAGGTAATTTCACTTATTTTGAATTTAAAAACAAAAGAATGAAAGTATTTGTCCTGGTAAAAATATTTCAGGTAAAAAAATTAACAAATTGCATGAAATACTAAACATTGGACATGCTTTTGAGATACTCCATAAAAATATTCTGGTTCTCCGTATTACTCTATCATTCTAGAAGTTTATATATGTAATCCTCTCATTTATTTTCAGATTTGCTACACAAGCTAAGAATGCCTTGCTCTTCTACAATGGACGTTTCAATGAAAAGCATGACTACATTGCCCTGGAGATAATTGATGAACAAGTCCAGTTCTCTTTCTCACTTGGCAATAATACAATCATAGTGAACACTAACGTCCAAGGTGGTGTCAGTAATGGTGAATGGACATGGGTCAGTGTGGACTACTTAAACAGAGTAAGTATCAAGCAAGTGGCCGATTACAGATATTTTAGGCAGGTTCTGATGTTTTAAACTTGTCTTGCACAAGATGATAGATGTTGTCTGGACAGGCATTCAAACATTTATCATTTCACCATTCTTCCAATTTTCAAATGTCAATGAATATCAATCTTTAGCAAACTTGTAAGACTATTATGAATTTGGGAATAGAAAATTTGATGGATGATTTTGATGTCAAAAGTCAAGGTCCCTGCAGGAAAAATTTTGGATCTTGGATGCCATCTGATGAAACAAATTTATACAATGATATTTATTGGGCATTTTATCATTGAAAATTTTATGAGTGAAGATATTATTTAATTTTGTTACTAAAACGACCTAGCTGTACTTCATTTTTATACGACCGCAAAAATTTTTGCGGTAGTATATTGGTATGACGTTGGCGTCGTCCGAAGACACATTGGTTTTCACACTCTAACTTTAGTTGAAGTGAATGGATCTCTATGAAATTTTACCATAAGGTTCAATACCACAAAAGGAAGGTTGGGATTGATTTTGGGGGTTATGGTACCAACAGTTCAGGAATTAGGGGCCAAAAAGGGGCCAAAAATAAGCATTTTTGTAACTTCCAGACATAACTTGTGTGTTAGTGTATGGATCTCTCTGACATTGTGCCACAAGGTTCCATATCACACAGGGAATGCTGGGATTGATTTTGGGGGTAATTGCCTCAAAATATTAGGAATTAGGGGCAAAAAAAGGGGCAAAAAAAACAAGCATTTTTCTAGTTTCATGACAATAACTTGTGTGTAAGTGTATGGATCTTTCTGTAATTGTACTACAAGGTTCCATATCACAAAGGGAAAGCTGGAATTGAGTTTGGGGGTAATTGCCTAAAACGTTTAGGAATAAGGGGCCAAAAAGGGGCCAAAAATAAGCATTTTTCTAGTTTTCAGACAATAACTTGTGTGTTAGTGTATGGATCTCTCTGACATTGTACCACAAGGTTCCATATCACACAGGGAATGCTGGAATTGATATTGGGGGTAATTGCCTCAAAATATTAGGAATTAGGGGCCAAAAAAGGGGAAAAAAACAAGCATTTTTCTAGTTTCATGACTATAACTTGTGTGTAAGTGTATGGATATTTCTGAAATTGTACTACAAGGTTCCATATCACAAAGGGAAAGCTGGGTTTGAGTTTGGGGGTAATTGCCCTAAAAGTTTAGGAATTTGGGGCCAAAAAGGGGCCAAAAAAACACATTTTATTAGTTTCCAGACAATAACTTGTGTTCAAGCGTATGGATCTCTCTGAAATTGTACTGCAAGGTACCATACCACAAAGGGAAGGCTGGGATTGAGTTTGGGGGTGATGAATCATAAGGGGGTTCAAAAAATTTGGGGGGGGGGGGAATTTTTTTTTTTTCCTTTTTTTTTCTTTTAAAATTTTCCATTTCAAGTTGGTTATTTCTGATTTATATTTAAAAGCAAATAATAATGATATGGTAGGAGATACACACCAAACAGGATGTTTAAATTATTATATAATAAGTATTGTGCAATAGCAAGAAATTTTCAACTGCACAGTATTGCACAATAGCAAGAAATCTTCAATTGCACAGTATTGCGCAATAGCAAGGAATCTTCAATTGCACAGTATTGTGCAATAGCAAGAAATATCCAATAGCACAATATTGCGCAATAGCAAGAAATTGTCAATTGTACAGTATTGCCAATAGCAAGAAATATTCAATTGCACAGTATTGTGCAAAAAAAGATACTTCGTATAAATTGCTTATTTCTTGACCAATTTCAACGGGGTTTTTTGGCCCCGTTTTCAAATTGGTCCACATTGAGGTCCAAAGGGTCCAAAATTAAACTTTGGTTGATTTCATCAAAAATTGAATTATTGGGGTTCTTTGATATGCTGAATCTAACGGTGTATTTAGATTCTTAATTTTTGGTTCCGTTTTCAAATTGGTCCAAAGGGTTCAAAATGAAACTTAGTTTGATTTTAACAAAAATTGAATTCTTAGGGTTCTTTGATATGCTGAATCTAAACATGTATTTAGATTTTTGATTATGGGCCCAGTTTTCAAGTTGGTCCAAATCGGGGTCCAAAATTAAACTTTGTTTGATTTCAACAAAAATTGAACATATGGGGTTCTTTGATATGCTGAATCTAACCATGTATTGAGATTTTTGATTTTTGGGCCCCGTTATCAACTTTGTTCACATTGAGGTCAAAAGGGTCCAAAATTAAACTTTGTTTGATTTCATCAAAAATTGAATTCTTGGGGTTCTTTGATATGCTGAATCTAACCATGTATTTAGATTTTGGATATTGGACCATAATAGGTGAATGTCCAATTTAAAATTCTTAAGTTCTTAGACCACATTCATTCTGTGTCAGAAACCTATGCTGTGTCAAATATTTAATCACAATCCAAATTCAGAGCTGTATCAAGCTTGAATGTTGTGTCCATACTTGCCCCAACTGTTCAGGGTTCGACCCCTGCGGTCGTATCAAGCTGCGCCCTGCGGAGCATTTTATTGATTTTTAAAGTAATTTCCACTAAAACTATAAGTATAAGTTTATATATTATTAGTTTGAGGTGGTGAATATTCATCACAGATTTTCTAAAAACTGTTAAGCACTTTTTTCCTTGTGGTATGTATTTCATATTTACTTCATTGGAGCTCATCAATAATAAAAACACTGTAGAGGTAAAAGTTTTTTTTATAACCACATGCTAAGATACTGATAACATCAAGTGTTGTACATTACATGGCATTAAAATCATGACATTATTGCTAATGAAATGTACTTTGTGTTTCTTTGTAAAATTGTGAAAATATGCACTTATTATGTAATCACTTTTGGCATTGACTCTGTATACATTGTAATTGAATTTCTGTATATTTTTAGTTGTATGTCAATTTCATAACATACAGAAATTGATTGGTATGCATGTAAAGCTATAAGGTCCAACAATTTTCCTACATAATGACATTGTTAATGACTGCAACACTATAGTTCCTCAGGAAGTCAATATTGAAAAAATGATCAGACCCAGAGATTAAGTGCAGATCACGATAAACTTCATTACAAACACAGTTTAGTCTGATGTCAAACGAAAATGGTTATTTATAATGAATTATAGTGGAAAAAAACAAAACAGAATGGACCTTAAGAGGAAACTTATACAAATATCCAATGAAAGTCTGCTAGTTTAATTAATTTCTTTCTAATTGATATATTAGATGAATGTTTGTTATGGTAAAAAAAAAGATTCAATTGAATATTGATTTGTTCTTAGTGGACAAATATTGATTTTGCTATTAAGCTACCAAAGGTTATGTTGAGGAATGATGTGAAACATCATACAGTACTTTAATATCTCAGACATATATATATGAATAATTGAATGTCTAGAGTAAAATACAATAGTCTCTATGGTAGGGAAAAGGGTCAATAAATACAAACGGTATCCTTAGATATTATTTGAAAACAAATATTTTGATGTGTACTGGTAGCCATTTTATGATATGATAAGTTATAGATAGTTGGGTGAAATTACATAAAGGATCTGTGATGGAAATTCCAGATCGAAGAAGCAACACTGAGACAACTGAAAACAGAATTATTTGAGATATATATTTAGCTTAATGGAAGATTTGACAACACTTAATTTTCATTGTGGTCAAAACTTTGGTGTTTTGTCCATACGCTTGTGTCTTTAATTTGAAATTTTTATTATCTGTGTTTTACACTTGTCTTTATTTTAACACTTTACAAAAATCAAAAATAATGAAAAAGACTTGTGATAAAATGAAGTGGTATGCATTTGTTTTTACTTTTGAAAGCAACCTTAGGTGATTCAGTATCTGATCAGAAACTGTTTCACTCAAAACATATATACAAAGGCCTATCTTGTGCGAGACCTAGCTGATACCTGGTTATTAAATATCAGTTTTAAGCTATTCAAGTGGACTGAAATGTAAATTTTCCAATGATGGAACTACAGTTTTTGTGATTACAAATCCCTCTATAGAATATCATTTTACTAGCCAAATGAGTCTGTAGAGAATGATTCACATTTAATTAAAATTCATTCTAAATAATTATTGGAAATTCACAAAGCAACTTTTTCAGCGCACACTATTTAACAGACTAGTGTAATTGATCTTTGTTCCTTAATTATAAATAAGCATCATCAAAAAAGTTCCTTGATTAACTTTTTGAAATTCTATAATATAGATATTTAACCATGAAGTTTTATCTATATTTTGCTTTATTTGATAATTATTTTGAAATTAGTTCATTTGATAGAGAACACATCAGGTGTGACAGTTTGAAAAGATATTCAGCTATTAAAGATGAGCCAAAGAATGACAAACATTTGTCCTCAAATTGTTTAATGATCAAATAATAAATTAAATATTAAAAATCAATGAAACTGAAAGAAATTTTGTTTGCAGAAAAATGATAAATTTCCTGATAACATGCACTTCTTCAATCTCAGGAGAGATGATTTATCAGATTATTACTTAAAAGTGAATTGGCACATTGGTAAAAAAAATATGAAAACAGCTGCATCGATTATAGGAAGTTATTATGTAATTGATGTACATGTAATGTTTGTTGGCTTTGCCTCCGAGATGATGATCATGCTTTATAAAACACACTTCAATAAACAAATTGAATAAGTTTATGAAGTGTTTCAATGGATTATTATGTATAGATGAAGTTAATTTATTTTATTTCTTTCTTTATTAGGAATTATTAATTCTTTTATAAAAATACCTCTAAAAATCTGAAATTCCATGTGTAAATGATTATCTGTTGGAAATGCTGAACTTTAATTTGTGTACAAAACTGTTCAGACTTAACTTTTGTATGATAAAATTTTCATCTTTGAAGTAGGACAAGTACCTTGAAAGTTGACAGCAAAAGACCTAAAGGACTTGAATTTGAATGTCTTCATTTACTATCGAAATTTGTACAAGTAATTGTGTTTTATAACAAACATTCCCATTCATTATTACGACTAGGAAGGTTGACCTGTTTATGTTCATTTCAAAAGGCCATTTTGATTTTACATAAGTAGGCTGTTTTAATATTTGTGTTGAATGTGAAAAGAAGCGTCATAGACTTTGAATGAGTACTGATGTGTCACATTAAAAAGAATGATTATAATAATTGACATATACTATGGTACTTTAAATTCCTTGGTTAACTGATGGTGTTGCATTCAAAGCTACAATCAAGAGAAAAAAAGGCATGCTTCCATAAATAAATAAAAATGAATTTAAATACCTTAAAAGGCTGCCAAGATTGTAAAACAGTATTTACCGTTTTATAAGTTATTTATCATGAAAACATATTTACATTTACATAGTAGTTTCAACATACATAATTAACTATTGAAGCGGTAATGTCATCTAAACACATTAGAATTAGACATATCTTTTATGGATAGGGTTACTTGCTAAACCGTTTTAATCATAGGGTTTTACCTGCAATCAATAGTCACAGGTAGAAACCAGGTAATTGACAGGTTGTAAATGTGTCTCTTTAGTGGCATAGAAAACGTCTTATTGTATTCCTAACTTGTGATCACCAGAACTTAAAAGGGTTCTGTTGGGAAACTGTCAGTTTAATGCGATTAATAATAACAAATTTTAATATTTATGATATTAAATTATGAATATAAAGATTTGTGCATATATTAAGATTGGAAAGTGAATTGTTGTCCATCCTTTGCCATTAATTGGTCAGTGTAGCTTCAAAAACACCTACTAGGTTTCTCAAATTTTTATAAAAAGACCCAAGATTCAATTCACATTAAATTGAAAAGCTCAAAGATTTCAATTTCTGTATTAATAGGAGACTTTTAAAATATTTTGAAATTATAAGTGGACAATTATAGTAAATTGTAGGTGGTCATGGAGTAAAATCATTCTGCTGTGTAATAGGGAAACGTTGAATGTCAGAAATTCACAGTTTCAGTGGTACCCAATTCAGCAAATTGTCATTTATTTAAGAGAAGTTGCAATGAACACAGTGTTACACCACTGTCCCAGGTTATGGGGAGGGTTGGGATGCCGCTAACATGTTTAACCCCGCCACATTCTGTATGTATGTGCCTGTCCCAAGTCAGGAGCCTGTAATTCAGTGGTTGTCGTTTGTTTATGTTACATATTTTTTTTTTCTGTCATTTTCTGTACATTAATTAGGCCGTTAGTTTTCTCGTTTGAATTGTTTTACATTGTCATTTCGGGGCCTTTTATAGCTGACTGTGCGGTATGGGCTTTGCTCATTGTTGAAGGCCGTATGGTGACCTATAGTTGTTAATTTCTGTGTCATTTGGTCTCTTGTGGAGAGTTGTCTCATTGGCAATCATACCACATCTTCTTTTTTATATTTACAGGCAGTTGACATTGGTTCATATTTAAATGCCTGTAGACCCCCATTGTCCACAATAGCTCACACTTAAGAAATTCAGGTGTAGGATACATGATCTTAAATGTTAGAATACCATGATGAGGATTTAACTTCAAATTTGTATATTTCATTTCATGCCTTCTTAGGTTCAGTGCAGGTAGATAAGTTGTACCAGTCACACTGTTAGAGAACCTATAATATTATATGACCTGTACTTAGAACAAATTTATTTGGCATTAACATTCATTTTTGTATTTAGTAGGAGACATGTGTATTGTTGTCAAAAAGTAAGGTATTTAAATGTTTTTTTCTGAATAGATGATATATGTCATTTTCGCATATATTTCATAGATTTATTTTAAGTTATTTTTAATTGAACTAATTAAGATATCAATCTAATCTCTTTTTAAAGATTTAAGTATAGGTACAAATCCAAATTATTGCAATTAAGGTTGTTTAATTGGGACTAATGACTGATTTTGTTAATTACAAGAATTTCTTTTTAAATAAGATTTATTGTTTTTTATCAATCTCTTTGTACAGTTAAACCTTTTAAAGTTTTTAAAAATCGCTATAAACAAGATTACAAGCAATTATATATTTCTGAAGGTAACTATCACCAAATTTGCTCTGAACTATTGATACTAAAAAGGAAGTGAATAAAACAAATAGAAAAATTCTCTATAAATGGCTCTATAGTTGTTGATGTTTTGTGCTGAATATAAATTTTTGATGAAATATTCAATAAATCTATATATGAGCCGCATGAATTAAGAAGCATTTAACTGCCTTACCAACTTGTTTTCATGGACACTGAAATATTGTTTTAATTTTTTAGGCCATTTTCTCTATTCTATATTTTTTTGTCCATTATTCTATTTTGCTTATATTTTAGCACCCAATTATTCTCTATTCTTTATTTTTTTGCCCTTTATGCTGTAAACCTAATCCAGACCCTCATGAATTAGCAGAAAACTAGTCATTGTCTCGTGCAGCCTGCAGACTATCATGTTTAACAGTTCAATATATTCATATTCTGTAGACAGTGGTCTTATATTTCATATAAGCTCTTTACTTAGTCTGCTATATGCCTATGGTTTGATCATACATTAAAGTACAGAGGAAGTTGTAGTAATGTTTTTGTATTAAATAGAATGATAACTTGGCTAGACAAGAAAAACTGTAACATGAAGTTTTGAAATAATATTTCAAAAGTGCTTTTGTTGATGTGAAAAAAATTGTATCAGGTGGCTTTAAGCAGTGCCCAATATCATTACTCCTAAGTGACCTAATATTCTCATATCTAAAAAATAGATTTTAAAAATCACAAAAATAATTATACTGTAAACTCAATGTTTGATGTTTATTCTTTTCAGACTGCCACATTAACAGTAGGTGAAGATTGTGATACAGCAATAACTGTCAAATATGGACACAGATTATCATCAACATATAGATGTGCTGCAGAAGGAAAATCAGTACTCCCTACCATGTAGGTTTTAGGTTTAAAAACTTTAAAACAGCTGATTTTTATGCAGTTGATAATTTAGAGATAGTTCAGTATTCATTGCTGATTGAAAACGAACCTTTTCATCAGAGAGTGTAGGGTTTTCTTGTCTGTACTTGGTCTTTGATTAATATTAGATTATCTGTGTGTCAAATCTTATTCCCATTTACAGATGATATACTCACTGATAGGGGTCAAATAACTTTAGGGGAGGGGGGGGAGAAAAAAGCATGATATTAGTCTAAATATAAGTTATATTGTTAAGTTGTCCAACTATTCGCATAGGAAATATTTTTTCATGCATTTTGCATGATTGCGATAAAACTGAAAATAACCCTTGTGTTAAAGCTTCCACGTTTAAAGTAATTTAATCTTATAAGGATAACAGGAATTAATTCAAACCAGTTTTACTTTCACACAAATCTACCTTTAAATGTGCCTGTTAATGCAGAAAACTATAGAAGGTAGCCTCTGCAGTTGGATAAATATATACTACACACAAAAAAAGCAAAAAAATAAAAAGAACATCATATTTAAACTAGGACATTCATCGACAACTTAAATAGAATAGAATGTGTCTGGTATATTGTTTAATTCTGTTTATAGATAATTACTATCAATATTTTTTTATTATTATTCTGATTACAGTTGTGACAACCCATCTGAAAGTTGTTTCAGACTGTTTGACCTGACTGGTCCCCTGCAGATTGGTGGCTTACCCAAGTTACCAGCCCAGTTTCAGATACAAACCAAAGATTTTGACGGATGTATTAAAGACTTCTACTTAGACAATGCACTACTAGATTTGAACCAGTCTGTAGCTAGTGTTGGTACATCACCTGGGTGTGATTCTAAGAAACACTTTTGTATTGGAGATCCTTGCAAGAATGGAGGTTTGTATGCCTATTTTCGAAATTAAATTGACTTTATTCTGTTTTGCAGTACACTTTAGGTCTTTTAAATGGATCTATTGCAATGGAGCTGCAGATCAAGACTACCTGTAATTTTAAGGTCATAAGGTGAAGATTCTGAATAAATTTATGGGAAATCAGTCATTTAAGATTAGTTGTGTTTTGTTGAATATTGTTAATATTCATCATCAACAGATAATTTTCTAGAAAATAAGACAGGCTTTGAAGCTTAGTTAATTTTAATTGCTGTATAGTAGCATTAAAAACTAAATTCATTTCTTGAGACAGAAAAAAATTCTAGATAGCAAATGCGGTGTGATTCAGACCGGAAAATATATAAATCTTGATTGTTTTTTTCTTTTCAGGAACTTGTTATGAAGGATGGGGGACATATATATGTCAGTGTGGACCAAACAAAAAAGGCAAAGACTGCACTGTTGGTAGGTGGTAGATATTTTTGTAAATGAAATTATATCTTTATAATTATTTATCTATAGAAAATCCTGCAGGATTTAAATGGATTTCCTAGTAGAATTTGAGGAAATTTTCAGATTTATTGATTTTGTATCAGTTCAGACAATCAATTTTACTTATATTTTGTAATGTCTGACATTATTGATAAAGTTTTATCTTCATACCATTACATAACAGTCTTGTTATAATTTTATAGTTGAACATGATTTTAAAGTCTTATTTTATCTCTTTTACATATGTTTGTAGACAGTAAGTAAAAAATTTACAATAATTTTAAATATTGCTCATTTGAAAGATGGATTTTTGTCAAGTCTGCGACTTTAGTTGCAGAAAGATCGACATAGGGATAGCAATCCGGTGGCGGCGGCTTTAACTGACTACTTTAAAGCTTTATATTTTAGAAGGTGGAAGACCTGGATGCTTCATACTTTGCATATAGATGCCTTATGTTATGAAGTTTCCGTCTGTCACATGTCCATTGTCCTTGAGCTCATTTTCATGGTTCAGTGACTACTTGAAAATATTTTTTTTGTAATGTTTATTTCTCTCATATGAGTAATAGGATAACTAAATTTAGTATGTGCATACCTTGCAAGGTTCTCATGCCTGTCAGACAATTTTCATCTGACCTCGACCTCATTTCATGGATCAGTGAACAAGGTTTAAGTTTTCGTGGTCAATTCCATATATCAGATACTATAAGCAATAGGTCTACTATATTCGTTGTATGGAAGGACTGTAAGGTGTACATGTCCAACTGGCAGGTGTCATCTGACCTTGACCTCATTTTCATGGTTCAGTGGTTAAAGTTCAGTTTTTTGTGTTTTGGTCTTTTCTTCTAATACTATATGCAATAGGTCAACTATATTTGGTGCATGGAAATATTTTACTATGTACATGTCAGTGTGGCAGGTCTTATTTGACCTTGACCTCATTTTCATGGTTCATTGCTCATTGTTAAGTTTTTGTGATTTGGTCTTTTCTTCTATTACTATAAGCAATAGGTCAAATATATTTAATGCATAGATTGATTGTAAGGTGTACATGTCTGTCTGGCATGGTTCATCTGACCTTGACCTCATTTTCATGGTTCATTGGTCAATGTTAAGTTTTCATGGTTAAGTTTTTCGTTCTTAGTAACTATAAGCAATAGGTCTACTATATTTGGTGTATGGAATGATTGTAAGGTGTACATGTATTTCCAGTTTGGTTTATCTGTCCTTGACCTCATTTTCTTGGATCATGTTAAGTTTATGTGATACTTGTAGTAAAGCTTTATATTTAGGACTATCAACATAAAATCAATGGTCAGTAAAGCAGGCGAGACATTTCAGTGTGTGCACTCTTGTTTATTTTTACCTTGGATTAGTTGAAACATATTTCTGGTGTCCAACTTATGTTCTGATTTTCATCAGTGAATTGTAGATCATACTGATACTATTTATGTCTTTGTTTATTTCAATATACTTGTTATAATTCAAAAAAAGGTCAAATATAATGAATTTATCAATGCTACCTCCTGAATTTACAGCCATCAAAGTTTCTTCAGTTTTCATTTTATCATTTCATGGAAACATTGTTTAAGATATGTTTGTATATGTAAATCATTCATATCTTTCTATGTAAAACTAAGAGAGAGAAAATGTCAGCCTTTCATGATTTGAAATGAATGAAAAACTGAAATGAAATAATTTTTTATGGCCTGAGTAAAGAATTTCATTTAACTAGTTCTTTTATTCAATGCTAAACTGGATATAGTTATTAACATTTTATATGGGTATTTGGTGCATGAGTTCCCATGAAATAGGATTTAGCTTGACTGCTTTCACCTATAGCACTCATCTTGGATTATTTTTGTCAAAGGTTCAACTGATGCCATAGTCATGGTTTTGCATTCTTCTGTTTCAGTTTTATATTATATTCATTAAAGTTAAAAAATTTCATAAAGCAAATGAGTATTTCTTTATATATAAATGTTTTCTAAATGAATAAAGTTCTTTTTTCAAAAATGTTTTTCACACTATACATGCATGCCAATTTAAGACATAACATCCTATGTTCTGTGTTTTTTGTAGGATTTATATTTTTATATTTTTCAGACATATCTGAGGGACCAAGGCGACTTGAAGGAACTGGATACTTGTCTTACCAACCTTCTTCACTTCCAAGTCCTACCATTTATTTGGACTGGCATAATGGTATTTCTTTCCGTACACGTAGTACCAATGGTGTACTCATGCATATAGTGATAACTGGTGGAATATCTGTTCTCATGCAGGTATGTTTTACAAAATGTGATAACTGGTGGAATATCTGTTCTCATGCAGGTATGTTTTACACTATGTGATAACTGGTGGAATATCTGTTCTCATGCAGGTATGTTTTACAAAATGTGATAACTGGTGGAATATCTGTTCTCATGCAGGTATGTTTTACACTATGTGATAACTGGTGGAATATCTGTTCTCATGCAGGTATGTTTTACACTATGTGATAACTGGTGGAATATCTGTTCTCATGCAGGTATGTTTTACACTATGTGATAACTGGTGGAATATCTGTTCTCATGCAGGTATGTTTTACACTATGAGATAACTGGTGGAATATCTGTTCTCATGCAGGTATGTTTTACAAAATGTGATAACTGGTGGAATATCTGTTCTCATGCAGGTATGTTTTACACTATGTGATAACTGGTGGAATATCTGTTCTCATGCAGGTATGTTTTACACTATGTGATAACTGGTGGAATATCTGTTCTCATGCAGGTATGTTTTACACTATGAGATAACTGGTGGAATATCTGTTCTCATGCAGGTATGTTTTACAAAATGTGATAACTGCTGGAATATCTGTTCTCATGCAGGTATGTTTTACACTATGTGATAACTGGTGGAATATCTTCTCATGCAAATATGTTTTACACTATGCTGTAGGGTTGATTAGTATATTGAATTTCAGTTCTTTAATGATATTTCATTGGAACAGGTTAGTGATAAATTTATGTTGCTTCATTGAAGACAAAAACAATTTGCTTATTCTAAGGGTCAAGGACATTTTTTCAGAATCTCATAAAGCTTTCAATGGAATGGACCAAAATTTGATGGAAATGATTCATACCATGTAAAATTAAACAATTTAGATTTTTGGGGTTTTTGTTGCAAATATATATCCGTTGTCATTTCTACAAATGTGTAAGTCTAAATGCCAAGTCTCATACTGTTCACATTGGTGTGAATCAAAACTTTACAACATTTCTGTAGATTCGTATATCGTTAAGTGTAGATTTGCTTGCTTTATGATGCTGTACACTTGTGTAACTACTAAAGTATATTGTACTGTAGGCATCAGGTTTCAATTTGTAAAAGATTGCAGAGGGAGAAAGAGTGAAGACAGTTTTTTGTCGAGCCTGCGACTTTTGTCGCAGAAAGCTCAACAAAGGGATAGCGATCCGGCAGCGGCGGCGTTAGCTAACTTCTTAAAAGCTTTATATTTGTTATTTCGTATCATGTTACGAAGTTTCCGTCAGTCACATGTCCAATGTCCTTGACCTCATTTTCATGGTTCAGTGACTACTTGAAAAAAAAGTTCAGATTTTTTGTAATGTTAAATTCTCTCTTATTATAAGTAATAGGATAACTATATTTGGTATGTGCGTACCTTGCAAGGTCCTCATGCCCGTCAGACAGTTTTCACTTGACCTCGACCTCATTTCATGGATCAGTGAACAAGGTTAAGTTTTCGTGGTCAAGTCCATATCTCAGATACTATAAGCAATAGGTCTAGTATATTCGGTGTATGGAAGGACTGTAAGGTGTACATGTCAAACTGGCAGGTGTCATCTGACCTTGACCTCATTTTCATGGTTCAGTGGTTATAGTTAAGTTTTTGTGTTTTGGTCTGTTTTTCTTATACTGTATGCAATAGGTCTACTATATTTGGTGTATGGAATGATTGTAAGGTGTACATGTCTAGCTGGCAGGTGTCATCTGACCTTGACCTCATTTTCATGGTTCAGTGGTCAAAGTTAAGTTTTTGAGTTTTGGTCTTTCTTTCTAATACTGCATGCAATAGGTCAGCTATATTTGGTGTATGGAATGATTGTAAGGTGTACATGTCTAGCTGGCAGGTGTCATCTTACCTTGACCTCATTTTCATGGTTCAGTGGTCAAAGTTAAGTTTTTGAGTTTTGGTTTTTTTTTCTAATACTATATGCAATAGTTCAACTATATTTGGTGTATGGAAATATTTTATGATCTATATGTCAGTCACGCAGGTTTTATTTGACCTTGACCTCATTTTCAATGTTCATTGCTCAGTGTTAAGTTTTTGTGTTTTGGTCTGTTTTTCTTAAACTATAAGCAATAGGTCAACTATATTTGTTGTATGGAAGAATTGTTAGCTGTACATGCCTGCCTAGCATGGTTCATCTGACCTTGACCTCATTTTCATGGTTCATTGGTCAATGTTTAGTTTACTTGGTTAATGTTAAGTTTATGTGACAGTTGTAATAAAGCTTTATATTTAGGACTATCAACATAATATCAATGATTAATAAAGAAGGCGAGACATTTCAGCGTGTGCACTCTTGTTTAATTTCAGTAACCTATTTGAAGATGAATTTTACAATATTTGAATTTGTAATTTCAGTTGGAAGATGGTTACATCCACTATAATTATACAGACAGTAATGGTAATGTTGGATTCGTATTTGATCATGTCAAGGTCAATGATGGTTCATGGCATTATTTTGAAGTTCGCTGGCTCAAAGTTTCATCAGAACTGATACAGATCTTAGACTACGGCCATTGGACAGTAAGTTTTAGAACAGACTTTTAAAAAAATGTGGAGACGGTGGTTCTCTGCTAGCACTATGGCATTCCTCCACCAATAAAAACTGATCACCATGAAATAGCACAATAGCGCTGAAAGTTTTATTATTCACCAATCAATCAATCAATCAATGTTTTAACATTGTAAAGGTATTGGAATTTCAGTAGCATCCAGGTTTTAATTTTTTATTAGGGTACCTGTAATGTGTTGTCAGCTCTTCCTACTGTTTTTAACTCTTGTCCTTCAATCTTTCTATAATGTTTGTGTATATAAAGATAAATGATATGCCTATCTGTTTGTGTACATATTTGGAAATTTTTTTACAGATGGTCTAAATGGTGAAATTGAATCAATTTTCAACAACCTTCTCTATGGAGGTTATTCATTTTGTGTTTTAACTTCTTCAGTTTCAACCATTGCTTTTTTTTTATTGGCTAATTATAAGTTAACTAATAAAGCCTATTTTTTCTTACAAAGTGAACATGATGTATATTTTTCCTTGCAGAAGACCTTTACAATCCAGTCCACCATAGCAGGTAAACAGATCCAGCAAGTGATTGTTGGTGGCCAGAGACAGGGAACAGGACCAGTCATCAATCAGTTTACAGGTTGTGTTCAGGTAAATGCTTATTACTGTTCAGGTAGTAAGTCTTCTTGATATTGGTATGTGATATAAATTCATTAACAATTAATTGAGTAACTGCAACAACTAAATATTTTAACATCTTGTGAGCTATATTTGAACACCATTTTGGTGATGAAAAAAAGGAACAATGCTGGTGTATAAGTATTTCTAAAAAAAAACATGACCTGTTTGAAAGTTCACTTTTTTATTTTGGTTTTTGAGACTTTTTTATTTAGTAATTTGTCTCTTTTCACAAGTTGATATGATAAACGAGTAATTCAGTCTTCATTAACATCTTTTCTAGTTAAAAATACTGTCTTCATAAGATGATGAAATATAGAAAAAGCTGTACAAATATATACTGTAAAATTAGAAATTCAAATTTGATCCATCTGTCATGTATCAGGTTAAATGTAGAGTAAGGATATATGGTATGATTGCCAGTAAAAGTTCACTGAACATGGAAATGTGTTAGTGCTATAATTTGTTCAGCATGCATATCTTTGTTTTATTGGAAGAGAATATAGCCATTCTTTTGACACAAAAAAGTACCAAGTGCTCTTACTAGAAATAAGTTCTTGGAATTTGAGCTATTTTCCTAATGCTTGTAGTTTAAAGGTTTGGTTGGCTTGCTTGCTTTGTTTGTATAAATGTTTGCTGAAGCATTGTAATTAAGATTGACATCTACTCTGCATAATGTAAACAAGCTGAAGCCCCGTCTATCTATTGTTTGCAGATGTCAATCTTAATTACAATGCTTCAGCAAACATTTATACAAACAAAACAAGCAAGCCAACCAAACCTGTAAATTAAAAGCATTAGGGAAATAGCTCTAAGACATTACATGAAATATTACTTATCATATGCTCTAATATATTGACAGTTTTGATTTGAACAAAGTAGTATAAATAATAGATACAGAATAAAAAGTAAATATGTTTCAATGTGTAGAATGCCCTGGTAGGAAACAATGGTTATACAGGTCTGACTAAACCTGATGTACACCAAGCACGTGAAGGATGTGTTGTTGACAATCCATGTTCCAAGAACCCATGTAGTAATGGAGCAACTTGTGTAGATGAGTGGGAACAATATTCTTGTAAATGCCCACCAGGTAAGTTGATTTATTTTTATGTCACCGGATATATGTATTCAATATATTTATTCTTTTTGTCATGTTTAAATGTTTCGATTCAAGCAAAGATATTTTTAGTATTTCAAATATAGTATTCAGTCTGGCTTAAAGGCCGCATTTTGGTATATCAGTAAATGTCAGATTATATCTCGGTTGCATGTGAATATTTCAGTTATGCATATTGTTCACATTTATCGGAACACATTGTAAATTTGGTTTACAATTTTGTATTTACAGATACTAATAATAAAGTTATTATTTGGATGAACATCGAAATTTGTGTTTCACCTATACCCACGAAAACCATAAAAAAAATGGTCTCCCACGAATAATAATGAATCCACAGTAATTCTAAAATACTAAAGAAATATGACAAATGTTGTTTCTGAGTTGACATATCAATTTGTGTAGTTCATGGATTTTAATGCTATCATATATTTTGAACTATTTACATTATTAAAATAAAAGGTGGAGTGTGGTGTATTACTTCATGACACAAAATCAATACACCTACTTGTAGTTCTGTTTCATAATTTTTCTATTCAAGTTACAAATATGGCATAGTAAGACTGTAGGCATGTATGATACCCAACCCCTTCTCAGAAAATACCCCATGGTATAAAAACCCTAATTATACACAACTTAATATGTCAATTACTCAGAGAATGTTGTTGTTTTAACATGTGCTTTTGTCAAGTAAATATGACTCATAAAATTGTACAGAAATACACAGCTATCAAACAAACATACAAACGTAATCAACGTTGTGTTTTGTAAAACAAAAAGAGTTTTGACAAATGCTGTGCATGTTACAAAATCATTTTAACATTAGTGGTAGAAAAGTTGATGATGTACATTAAAAATAGCCTGTCAATTTAAGAATATATTGCATACAAGTTTATCTTAGACCTACAGAAACGTATGACAATGACAATTTGCAAACACCTGCATTGTAGGCAAACAGAATTTTGCATCATATGATATACACCTGAGTATTTGCTTATCTTATTTTTAGGTACTATTGGACCAAATTGTCAGGATATCTGCCAGAATTACAATCCTTGTGAAAACTTTGCATTCTGTAGAAGTCCTTCACAAAATTTGTATGGTTACCATTGTGAATGTGGGGAATTACAGAGTGGACAGTATTGTGATGAAGTTCTCTTACAACCATGCCCAGACAACTGGTACGGCTTTCCAATCTGTGGACCATGTAATTGTCCCGAGGACAAAGGATTCTCTGGTCACTGTGGCACTACGAAGAGAGAGTGTAGATGCAAGGTTAGTAAACAATATATTTAAAGTAGTTCTTTTGAAAACACTTTATTCTCATTTGTCTTGAATAAAATTTAATTAATATTTAAACATAGCGAAATTTGTATTATGTTGTGTAAATGTGGTTGTGATATAATATCAGTAAGTATCAAAATCTCAAGTCCAGATTTCATATTTTGATTAAGTCAATTTTAATGAAATATATTAATGTTTTTGTATTTCACTTTTTTTAAGGATTTTAATGATAAAAGGAGAAAAGATGAATAAACAAACATAAATTGCTTTTTTTTTAGGATTTATAAGCATGTTTATAATATTGTTTCAGTCTAACCATTATCGCCCAGTTGGAAGTGATAGATGTTTCCCATGTGACTGTTACATGAAGGGTGCCATTAATGACACGTGTCATCCTGTGACAGGCCAATGTCCTTGTATGGAATCTGTGATTGGTCGACAGTGTAATCAGTGTGAAAGTCCTTATGCTGGTATCACTTTACAAGAAAAAGAAAAAGGCTGTACAGGTAATAATATTAAAATATACTAAATAATTAATTCTTTTCTGGCTCAAGCATCTATAGCAATATACTGTTTTAGTACATAATGCCATTAGTAATTCTTAGTTAAAGTTATCTGATTTAACAGGCATGAGAAAAAGTACTTATAATAGGCAAATGATGAGTTGACATTATTTGGTAATGTTTAATGTATCTTTCAGTGGTATATGATGTCTGTCCCAGAAACTATCTAGGAGGTGTATGGTGGGATGGTACACAGCATGGATATGTCAGAATCAGAGACTGTCCACATGGAGGAAAAGGTTAGTAAGATCAATACATATTGTAGATTTGGGAAGGAATGTAACATCAGGGGGTACACCTTGTATTGTATAGACTAGCTTTTGGGATGTGAATTGGATTTTGGTGGATTGATAGATACCTCTCATGATGATAAAAAGTTTCTTTTGTTACCTATTCTGACATCAGACTCAGACTTCTTTTAAACTGAGTTTTACTGCGCGTACTGCTGTGTGTTTGTTTATTCTACATTGACTAGAGGTATAGGGAAGGGTTGAGATCTCACAAAACATGTTTAACCCCACCACATTTTTGTACCTGTCCCAAGTCAGGAGCCTCTAGCCTTTGTTAGTCTTGTATGTTTATTAATTAGTCCCCTACCAATGAAGTCAAAGGGAACTTTAGGTTTGCACTCTGTCTGTCTGTCCATCCATCAAATCAGTTTTCCACACTTTTTTCTTCGTGCTTGAAGATATTGATTTGATATTTGGTGTATTGTTTTATCATGACAAGTTACAGATCAAGTTCGAATTTTGTTCTGGTCTGGCGATTTTGTGCAGAGTTATGGTCCTTGAACTTAGAAAATTCACTCAAATAATCAGTTTTCCGCACTTTTTTTTGTCATGCTTGAAGATATTGATTTAATGATTGGTATATAGTTTTATCATGACAAGTTACAGATCAAGTTCGAATTTTTGTCCAGTCTAATTATTTTGTGCATAGTTGTTGTCCTTAGACTTAGAAAATTCACATAAGTAATCAATTTTCCACATTTTTTTCGTAATGCTTGAACATGTTGAAGATATTGACCAGATATTAGTTATATAGTTGAAACCTTGACAAGTTATAGATCAAGTTAGCATTTTGTTCCAGTACAATAAATTTTTAACCGGTAGGGAACTATGTATTGCCAGGTAATACTCACAGAATGCTTGTTTTAGTTCATTTATATGTTTTGGAGTTTAGTGTGACATCCATTTTCATTGAACTAGTACACACGTTTGTTTAGGGGCCAGCTAAAGCCCTCTTCCAGGTGCGGGATTTTCTCGTTGTGTTGAAGACCCATTGGTGGCCTTCAGCTGTTTTCTGCTCTTTTGTCGGTTGTTGTCTCTTTGACACATTCTCCATTTCCATTCTCAATTTTAATATATAGATTTTGAAGAACAAAGAAGGATTGAGCACAAAAAAAATTCTGAAACTATTTATATATTTATCAGACTTTAAGATCAGTCTACCATTTATTTTGTTTACTTGGAATGCTGAAACTATTGGAAAATTTAGTTATTTTTCTAAAACCGTAGCCATAAAAATATTAAAAATGATAAGAAGAGCTACTGTTCTGATCAATCTTAGAAATATGTTTTAATATGAATGTTTTTTTTTTCTTCAGGTGATGCTAAAAGAAACTGCAGCCATGAGACAAGGCTTTGGGATGAACCAGACTTTACTAACTGTACCAGTTCAGGCTTGACCAAATTATTGGAACAGGTTTGTTTTCAAGTCATTGATTGGTCAAATTTCCAGCATATATAACTAGGTCATTAATTGGTCAAATTTCCAGTGAGAAAATCATTGATTATATATTAAGTACCTGGTTTGTGAATGATAATTCGTTGACAGATTTATCATCGAAATGAACTAAAATGAGAGAAATTGGTACCAGATATTTATATTGACACATTTGAGATGTAAAAGTGAATATTCTTTTGTTATGCATACTGCAAAAACTTAACCAAATTTAGGGATTTTTTTAAACGTTGGAAGAGTTTTACATTTCTTTTTATTTGCACTTTGATTGGATGTTCTTTTAGACTGCTGTCTTTTTAGGTTTCATAGTATATCTATGAGTTTAATAGATCATAGATACTGGTACCCTTGCTTTACAAATTGTCAATATACAGACACTGTTATATGATTTATTGATTTTGGTGCTTAAGGCCACTTTCTGCTATATCGTGGCAGTCAGTTTTTATTGATGGAAGAATCTGTAGTGCCCAGAGAGTACCATTCTGCAGGAAACTGACAATCCTAGTCAGTTAAGATTGGAGTTGAATGTTCAGGGCTCAAACTCACAATCTAAATGTTGACAGGCTTGTGATAAAGTAGATGAACTACCTAGACCACTCTGCCACTGACATTGTTATAACAACTGGTTATAACTATGTACACAATTGAACCATTCATGGATGTTGTTCTTTGTTACAGATTAGACTGATAGAAGAAGGAAAGTTAAAACTGAATCCATTTGTAGCCAAGACCACTATGAAAACATTAGCTGAGTCACTACAAGCTGCACAAATATTGTTTGGTCAGGATCTAGATATCACTTACAGAATCATAATGACTTTATTGGACTATGAACTTAAACAGACAGGCATGAATCTTACATCAGAGCAAGATGGGAAATATGTTCAGGTATATGACTATAGTAAAGGAATGGGTTGTTTTATCAGTAGTATGATGGATCTACCCACCTATTATAAGGATATATTATAGCTATACTTAAGTGCCAATCTGCCTAAGAATCAGGCAGTGGTGAATACATGACAAACTAAAACCCACTCAGCTTTATATTTATTTAAGTTTGGAATGTATAATGGTGCATGAATATAACATTCCTTTCCTTTCCCTGTTCTGGTAATTCAAGATATATTTTGGTTGAAATGCACTAGAAATTAACAATTAAGGGAAGATAACTCTGTAATTTGCTATCATTCTAACCAAAATTTATCTAGATATTTCTCAAATTGCCAGACATGCAGAAACGAAAGACCTACCATTTCTAACTCTGGATGAGGGTACCTTCAAAATAGGGTGGTTAGGTCTGTAGGTTTTTTTCTGCCATGTTTTGAAATTTTTCTTAATTGCCTGATTCTTATAAAGACCAGCACTTAAATGTGAAGCATAACCAGGTAGAATTTTTACATATTGTTTGATAGACTATGCCTACCCAATGTATCTTTTGTTGTCAGCCACATTCTATACTTCAGGAGTAATTTATATGAAATCTTAAGTGAAGAAGCATGTAAACAAGACTATTATAACACTGTGATCTTTTATGTATTTTATTCTGTGTCATAGATGCTTACTATTAAAGCTCCCTCAACTTCTGAAGACAACAATTTACTTACTCTTGTAAATTTTAAAATTTTACCTTTTAGAAAAAATCTACAAAAGTAAGTTAACTAGAAATAAAAAAGATTCAAATGTTGTAAAAAAGAATGTGAAAGCAAAATACTACTGTATAAATACTAACCCTGATGGTTTTATTTTAGAATTTACTAGATGCTTTGAGTGTTATTTTGGATCCACAATACAGTGAGGATTGGAAGAGACTGCAAACATCAGATGTCCTCCTCCAGAAATTAGAAACTTACACTGAAAAGTTACTGACAACTTTAGATGAGCTACATAAAATTCCATATAGCGTTGTATCTGCTCGCGTTGGTAAGTTAGGAATGTTCTTACTCTAGACTCTAGGTTAATTTAAATACTGGTAAATCAATAGATAAGTTGAGGATTGAGGATAGTTAACTGAGGAACTATCTGTCAGTAGAATAAATAAATCAAATTAGATTTCATGATTCTAATTTTACAGGTCTCGAAAATTTACTTTTAAGGTGATTTTAATTTTGTACATTTATGCCCCTGCAAGTGCTAGCTGAAAATCTGTCATAAACCCCAACTTTACAAGTATTCAACTACAATTTTGAAATTATTTTGTGAGTTAGAATAGAAGACCATTATCATGTATATCAGTCCATACATAATACATAAATAAGCTTGAGAGTCATACACTATGCTATAGTTCATCCCCATTTGTCTATTGGTCTAAACTTGTATAGGTTTTCTATCTCCTAAAACAGTAGGTCACACCTGGTATGACTTTTGCAGAGAAGTCATCTTGTGGCATCCACTTAAGAACCCTAGATCATTGTCTGGTCTCTAAACTTGTGAATATTACTAATGTTGTAAAACTACTGTTGCTATTCATAAATTGACAACTAATGTGTGAAATCATCATGTGATGTTATTTATTTTTGCTGTATTGAATTCTAAATTGACTTCAAATTAAGATTAATGCTCTTTTTTCCCAGTGCTAATGATGGATACTGTGAATAAAAGTAACTTCAGCTCCTTGGAAATTCCCAAATTTGATAATATTGTACAGAAGTCAACTTATGATGATGAAACACATGTAGATCTACCTAGTGCTGTCCTGTTTTCAGAACAGTCTGTTGCAGGTTAGTTGACATTTTAGATTTAGGACCATACTTGCATCTTGAATGAGATAATGTGTTATACATAGAGTATAAAGAAAATGTTTTTGTTTGAATTTTATGAAATATTTATGCCGTTCAATTGTATTATTTTGAAATAATGATTATTTTTTTGTCACTTGCAGCATTTTCACAATTTTTCATAAGCTTTATGTATATTAAATGCATCTGATTTTGTTTTGAGTTTGGTGAATGAATTTGTTTCATTTGATCATAACTTCACAACACATATTTTTACAAGCATGTATAGATAGTAAGTGGGGATTAGGATAGGTTGTATGTCAGTGTTGTTGAATGTAACTAATTTTAGAGGTAGATCTAAGGTGGACATTATGGAATAATTTGAGACATTGAAGCCTTAGATCTACTATTTTAGAAAATACTTGATGTAGCATGTTGTATTAACTGTGAATTGTGTGTTTTTAGCTGAGGAGAATCCTGGTAAGATATGTGTACTGTGTAGTCCTAACAATGTTTTAATAGATAACTTTTACCAACTGGAATATAGCAACATGTAGTTTAATGTGGATAATTATTTGTGGAATAACTCAGTTTCATTGAATTTTAAGGGCGAATTTCAATTTAAGAATTTTTTTTAATGCTTACATGTGTATTGCAAAAACAAGAAATTCAAGACATTTTTTAACATGAAAGTTAGTATGCAATAAAATCCATCCACATTCTTTAACAATATCCTGTTGATGTTCATTTAGAACATGGTCTTTTGAACTAAAATTGAAAGGCAAAGCATGATTGGTCCAATTAACTAATTATCTCCCGCTGAGAATATTTTAGGAAATTTCTGTTTCCCAGTTATTACTCCGAAGTTTAGACATTTATTCTAAAGACTTATTTTTGAGCTAGTATATACCAATCCAGGAATACGAACTCCAATTGAGAACCTGTTGAAACTAACAAATTATGCATCAAATGTATACTCTAAATTCTAAATTCTTATTGAATTATTTATTCCGTTTAAGATTTAATCCTTTGTTTATGGGTTAGCTTGCATATACACATGTTGCTACATTTTCCATAACTACAATTTAGACAATGGATGTAGTAAAAATTACATAATTAGATATTAAACCTTAGCTTATAGTGAAGCTAGTTGCTTCTTTTAGAAATCTGGTGAATATACATGGCAGATTTGACATAGTATCATATATATGAATGAACCTAATGACCTTTAAAATTTAATCTGATATCAAATATGAAAATTGATTCCCTAATTTCAGAAGCTTCAAAAATTCTACTTCTATTAAAAATTACTGATTTGATTCACAAAGACCAAAATAAATCAAATTTATGAATATCATTTTGAGAAGCTCGGTAATGTCTACTGCTATTAAAATTTTTGCTGAAGTAATGTCACACAATTAAAAAAAAAGAACAAGTCCTTGTTTGGTAGCTGATATTATTTTGATTAGAAAAATTAACACCACTATTATAACACATTTCAGATTTCTATTTCAATAGAACATGTTTTAATATGCTTGATTTTCAAAAGCTTACAGATGGCTTGCTTACCTTCTTATTATAGATTTGCTTTTTTGTTTATTTGTTTATAATGTATATAAATTTAAATATAATAAATAAGTTTTTGCTGACTTTTATGGAAATTATATGGAAAAAAGAGGATAATGCTACCCCATATGAATGAATTTTATATTAAAAAAAAATTTCCTTTGTATGCTTATATTAAGAACCAAACATTTTGCTGTTCAGCAATCGTTAGCAGTATTCATTTTTAAAAAAATAATAAAGAAACATTGTATGTTTATGTGAAATGATATTATTTTATTTTTGCAGCACTGATATCCCAGATATTTGAAAACAGACATGTGCCGCAGTCTCATATTGCATTTGTAATGTACAAGACTCTGGGGAACTTGTTACCCAACAGATACCAGGAGGATGTAAGGTAAATCACTTTAACTTGTTCTTATTTGTAGAGTTGCACTAAGTTTAGACCTACTTATTGCATGGTGATGTCTGGTTGGTTGGCTGAGAGAAGTGGGTAATTTTATTTAATTTTACCTATTAACTCCTATAGTTTTCAAACTAGATCTTTGAAACTTTCGCAGAAAGAAAGCACACACATTGATATTGTACACCTGCTATTATGAAATGAAAACAACACACCAAAAAATCTTTGGTATCAATGATGTTTTAAAAGCTTCCATTTCATATGTGAATTCCTTAGTTCAAGACAACTTTTGAAAGATATTAGCATAGAGATGACAAAAGATCCAAGATCTACATCAAATTCCCTAATAGGCAAAAAAAGACCTACAAATATGAAGTTTATAGGAATACTTTTTATTTTGAGCAATTTAAAATACTTGCATTAAAGAAATAGAAACCTGAAATAGAATAAGAAATAAGTATTGTAACATGCAACAAACAATACAGCTCTACTGTAGATTGTACTACAGTCAAACCTGTCTTAACAGTCAGCTTGTTTCAGCTGTCACCTGTCTTTAATGGTCACTTTCCCAGCCAAGTCAATATCACAATTTTTCATAACCTTTCATAACAATACAGCTCTACTGTAGATTGTACTACAGTCAAACCTGTCTTAACGGTCAGCTTGTTTCAGCTGTCACCTGTCTTTAATGGTCACTTTCCCAGCCAAGTCAATATCACAATTTTTCATGACCTTTTTTAAAAGGTCACCTCTTTTTGAGGGGTCACTTTTAATACATTCCATGAGTGACTGCTTATTACAGGTTTGACTAATTTATTTTTACAAATTTACTTGTTCACTTAGTTTATATTCATTTATTTACCATTACAGAATTGTCAGTGATAGACCAGTCAACCTAAATGCTCCATTAGTGACAATTAAGATACGGGATCAAGGACAGATACACAGTGGTGGGTTAAAACAACCTATCAAACTCACTTTCAAACAAGCTGTCAACAAAAATCGCACAGATCCTCAGTGTGTTTTCTGGCAGTTTAACGGAGGGGGTCAGTGGTCAAACCAGGGTTGCTCAGTTGATAGCAGATACGAACTAGATGTCAAAGAGGTTAATCCAGAAGACCCTACAGATGTCAAAGTCATCAAACAGATGTATGTAGTCTGCTCCTGTAATCACATGACCAGTTTTGGATTAATGATGGATGAAGCTGAAAAAGAGGTTTGTTTACAACTGAAAAGTCTTTTTTGCATTTTTATTTTTGTTATTTTCATAGATATAGAAATAAAGATATATTGGTAATGTGTATGAGACAATGATATGTTTCATAATAAGGAAGGCACTAATTAAACATTGAAAAGAATGCACAAGCTTAGCTAACCATACATCTTAAAAAATAATTTATTATCTATAAACTTAAGGAATTTATGATGTAAAGCATGCAAAAGCATTTTAGATAATATCAAATTTTAAAAATTCAATCATTTAATTAATCTCTTAAGACTAATTCTATAACTTAATGGTAATATTTTCAAAATTGATGTTAACTGGTCATTTTACCTCTAAAATTTTGATGGTATGTCAATATTTCATATTCAGAAGCAAAATGACATTTTATTGCAAATTTTTATGCTATTTATACCCCCGCTTTAAAAAAGGGGGGTATACTGTTTTACCTCTGTCTGTCCTTCCGTCAGTCCATCCGTCTGTCCCATGAATATTTTCGTCGCATTTTTCTCAGGAACTACTTGATAAGGATTTCTGAAATTTGGTTTCAGGGTTTATATAATAAGTTACACTGTGTGATGTGTTATCAGATTCATCACTCAACAATTTCCTGTTTACCGAATACTTGTATTATTTTACACATGATAGCTAAGTTGAAAATTTTCGTCACATTTTTCTCAGGAACTACTTGACAAGGATTTCTGAAATTTGGTTTCAGGGTTTATATAAGTCAGCTATACCGTGTGATGCGTTTTCAGATTCATCACTCAACAACTTCCTGTTTACCGAAATATTTCAGCGGGGTATCATCAGTGATTACTTGTTATATCTAAAGTGTTCATGCCAAAACTTTATAAAACAAATTATTATCAAACTTTCGGTGACCTGTAGTTGTTAATTTCTATGTCATTTGGTCTCTTATGGAGAGTTGTATTATTGGCAATCATACCACATCTTCTTATTTTTATACGACCGCAAAAATTAAAAATTTTTTGGTCGTATATTGGTATGACGTTGGCGTCGTCCGAAGACACATTGGTTTTCGCACTCTAACTTTAGTTTAAGTGAATGGATCTCTATGAAATTTTACCATAAGGTTTAATACCACGAAAGGAAGGTTGGGATTGATTTTGGGGGTTATGGTATCAACAGTTAAGGAATTAGGGGCCAAAAAGGGGCCAAAAATAAGCATTTTTGTAACTTCCAGACAATAACTTGTGTGTAAGTGTATGGATCTCTCTGACATTGTACCACAAGGTTCCATATCACATAGGGAAGGCTGTAATTGATTTTGGGGGTAATTGCCTCCAAATTTTAGGAATTAGGGGCCAAAAAAGGGGCAAAAAACAAGCATTTTTCTAGTTTCATGACAATTACTTGTGTGTAAGTGTTTGGATATTTCTTAAATTGTACTACAAGGTTCCATATCACAAAGGGAAAGCTGGAATTGAGTTTGGGGGTAATTGCCTAAACGTTTAGGAATTGGGGGCCAAAAAGGGGCCAAAAATAAGCATTTTTCTAGTTTCCAGACAATAACTTGTGTTCAAGTGTATGGATCTCTCTGAAATTGTACTGCAAGGTACCATACCACAAAGGGAAGGCTGGGATTGAGTTTGGGGGTGATGAATCATAAGGGGGTTCAAAAAATTTGGGGGGGGGGGATTTTTTTTTTTTTCTTTTTTTTTCTTTTTTTCCTTTTTTTTTTCTTTTAAAATTTTCCATTTTAAGTTGATTATTTCTGATTTATATTTAAAAGCAAATAATAATGATATGGTAGGAGATACACACCAAACAGGATGTGTAAATTATTATACAATAAGTATTGTGCAATAGCAAGAAATTTTCAATTGCACAGTATTGCACAATAGCAAGAAATCTTCAATTGCACAGTATTGCGCAATAGCAAGAAATCTTCAGTTGCACAGTATTGCGCAATAGCAAGAAATATCCAATAGCACTATATTGCGCAATAGCAAGAAATTGTCAATTGTACAGTATTGTGCAAAAGAATATACTTCGTATAAATTGCTTATTTCTTGATCAATTTCAATGGGGTTTTATTCTTGAATTCTTGGGGTTCTTTAATATGCTGAATCTAACCATGTATTAAGTTTTTGGATTTTGGGCCCCGTTTTTAAATTGGTCCACATTGAGGTCCAAAGGGTCCAAAATTTAACTTTGTTTGATTTCAATCAAAAATTGAATTATTGGGGTTCTTTGATATGCCGAATCTAACCGTGTATTTAGATTCTTAATTTTTGGTTCCGTTTTCAAATTGGTCTACATAAAGGTCCAAAGGGTCTAAAATTAAACTTAGTTTGATTTCAACAAAAATTGAATATATGGGGTTCTTTGATATGCTGAATCTAAACATGTGTTTAGATTTTTGATTATGGGCCCAGTTTTCAAGTTGGTCCAAATCGGGGTCCAAAATTAAACTTTGTTTGATTTCAGCAAAAAATGAATATATGGGGTTCTTTGATATGCTGAATCTAACCATGTATTTAGATTTTTGATTATGGGCCCAGTTTTCAAGTTGGTCCAAATTGGGGTCCAAAATTAAACTTTGTTTGATTTCAACAAAAATTGAATATATGGGGTTCTTTCATATGCTGAATCTAACCGTGTATTAAGTTTTTGGATTTTGGGCCCCGTTTTTAAATTGGTCCACATTGAGGTCCAAAGGGTCCAAAATTTAACTTTGTTTGATTTCATCAAAAATTGAATTATTGGGGTTCTTTGATATGCCGAATCTAACCGTGTATTTAGATTCTTAATTTTTGGTTCCGTTTTCAAATTGGTCTACATAAAGGTCCAAAGGGTCCAAAATTAAACTTAGTTTGATTTTAACAAAAATTGAATTTTTAGGGTTCTTTGAAATGCTGAATCTAAACATGTGTTTAGATTTTTGATTATGGGCCCAGTTTTCAAGTTGGTCCAAATCGGGGTCCAAAATTAAACTTTGTTTGATTTCAACAAAAATTGAATATATGGGGTTCTTTGATATGCTGAATCTAACCATGTATTTAGATTTTTGATTTTTGGGCCCCGTTATCAACTTTGTCCACATTGAGATCAAAAGGGTCCAAAATTAAACTTTGTTTGAATTCATCAAAAATTGAATTCTTGGGGTTCTTTGATATGCTGAATCTAACCATGTATTTAGATTTTGGATATTGGACCATAATAGGTGAATGTCCAATTTAAAATTTTTAAGTTCTTAGACCACATTCATTCTGTGTCTGAAACCTATGCTGTGTCAAATATTTAATCACAATCCAAATTCAGAGCTGTATCAAGCTTGAATGTTGTGTCCATACTTGCCCCAACTGTTCAGGGTTCGACCTCTGCGGTCGTATCAAGCTGCGCCCTGCGGAGCATTTTATTATATTTTAATACAGTTAACATATACAAAAGTAAAGAAGCTTGGTGTATATATTAATAAGAAATATTAAAAGTTGGGAATGAGACAGCAACCTTTCATAAAAGACATTACAAGGAAAGCAGTGTTCCAGCTAGGATTTCAAAAGGGCAGGGTGCCAATCCTATAAAAGGGCATTTAACGTGTGATATGATAATATGAAAAGGGCATGTTTTAATAAAGATTATAATCAAACATTGTTTGTTCATTGAATCACTGGTTATAAATATACAAGAACAACATCATTAGCCCAGAGAAAAACTATCTTTCTACTTTTTAGGCTGAAAACTTATCAAGCAGCTTGTGACACAAGTTTTAAATCATTGCTTGGCATAGTTAAGCTTTATATGCAGTATTTTTTGAAAAATGTCCTGCTTCATTCTGTTTCTATGGTCTGACACACTTTACAAGTTTTACCTTTCTACCTTTTCTGTGTTTAATGGCAATACAGCACAAAACAGCTGTAAATGCACAATGTTAGGATATAGTGAACAGTGAAAATTTGAATTGAAAATAAAAAAATACAGAAAAAGATGACCAACCCTGCTACTAAGACCCTCTTTAACTTTTCCCATAACTCAAAACACCTAAACATATAAATTCTAAAGCCAGAAGTATGAAGACATATTTTATAATATCTTAGTAGGTTACTCAATGCTAGGAAAAAATAAGATTGAGTTATCTTTCTTTATTTGGGTGTGCTCCTTCTTTGGAGGATAATAAACAGTACGTAGAAGATGTAAATACGATCAACAATATGGCTGCCGATTTTGTTATTTTCGTATAAAAAATGAAGGCAGTCAATGAAAAATACGTCTTAATTTGCTATTTATTTCACGGAAAACAATAAGAGCAATGTTTTTAACGAGTTGATTATGGTTTTCGACTTTCTGTCAATTACGTTTTCTCCATGAAACTACGGTAAACATTGCTAATTGTGCCCAAGTTATATGAACATTTCTTGAAGTTCAAAGACAAATGCCGACTGACCGATTCTATTTGAATGAATTAATGTTGATGATCATTAAATGACCCATCCAATAAACGGATTACCTATAACAACAGATTATGACACCTGTTGTAATCGTTGATTAGCTTGGGGTCGTAAACAAAGTCATATACTTGTCGCCAGGTAAATTTTCGTAATTGGCTGATCATATCAATACGAACAAAATAATATACTAATCGATCTTCAAAAAAGGCAGGGCGCCCTGCAAACTGTAAAAAGGGCACAGGGCGGCACTCGGGAAAGGGCGGGCGGGCCGCCCTGTGAAAACGACCTAGCTGGAACACTGAGGAAAGTCAACAATCAGATAACATTTTCTTGTGTAATTATATCTGCAGATTCTTGGTTGTTCTATTTTCAGTATGTTGCAGAAGGAGCTGTGTCATTAGAAGTGGTCTGTTTTGTTGGTGTTGGACTGTCAATGATCGCTCTGTTAGTGACATTTATCATTCTTGTGTCATTCAAACATATACAGTGTAATTCTAACACCATCCTCATCAACCTAGTGTTTGTTATCTTCCTCGCAGAACTGGCATTTATTGTCGGGGTGTATAGAGTAGAATCTAAGGTAACTTCAATATTGTATTCTGACCTCTTTTCTAATGATTTTATTACTATTTATTTGCTTTTTTTTTGTTCATTTAACCACTCTTAATCAATGCTTATCCTGAAAAATATTTGAAATGTTGTCATATTTTATTTTTGACTATACTAGAAATGTTCACAGTTGTCATAGTATTTTAGATTGAATATCATAAAATTAAAAGCTGTATTTGTATGAGTAACCTTGAGACTTTATGGATAAGGTTTGGCCATTTAGGTAAAAAAAAAAGATATCTAATGTATAAATGCATTTCATGTAGGAATTTAGACATATATCTTAATTCTGATATTGAAATAATGTATTATTAATTAAAACTTGTTATACATATATTTTCAGCAACATGTATGGTGTAAACTGGTAGCCATTGCTCTTCATTTCTTCCATCTGTCAGCATTTTCCTGGTTGTTTGTTGAAATGCTCCACCTTTACAGAAGACTTGTGGAGATTAGAGAAATTAATTATGGTGCAATGAAATTTTATTATCTCATTGGTTATGGTGAGTCTAAGGTCTTGAGATAATTATTCAATCATAAAATTGAAAATGATTAAACAATTGATTGATCAATTTATGATGTTAAATTTTACATTCATTGTATATTAGTTATTAATAATGCAAGTTAAATTGGAATTGCATTTTTGAATAAACTTAAAGAAAAAATGACAAAAATTGCAAATTAAAAAAATTTTAAAACTTCAAATAGTTTGAATGTCTTGGATAAATTTTAATTCTTTTTATTTGAGCTGGATCTCACATTTTTTAATCCATATCATTTATTAAAACATTTTGCAGTTGTACCAGGAATTGTGGTTGGATTTTCTGTTGGGTTATACACTGATGCTTATGGTACATCTCAATTGTAAGTGTTACTAGATTAGAAGCAATGTATATGTTGATGGGAAATTACAAAGATAACATTTTGAATACATAAATACACAAATTTGATTTCTAAGAGTGGGTTACATTTTGGAGAAAAAATATATATTTATAACCTATATGAAATGCATATTGTAAAACATTTATGGAATTTTAGACTATGAGGCAAGAAGTTCTTGATAAAGAGCAAAAGTTTGATATTTTTTTCATTTTTCAATAAATGGACTTAGTTTTTTTACCTTCAATATTACATTTTTACATTGACAGTTGCAATTGCAAGCAAAAAAAGGGTTCTGCAGAATTCTTTATTTTTTTTTTACATTTATTCATTAAGCATATATAGCATAGCTTTACATATAATTTTTTATTTTCAGCTGTTGGTTAGACATCACACAGCCATTTATATGGACATTTGCTGGACCTGTCATGGTTGGTGCTCTGGTAAGTATATACAATAGTTTGTAATAAAGATAATTTGATGTTCATCAGTTCACACCAAAAAAAAAAATATATATGTCTTATTTGAAGATAAAAGGGTATAGGTTTTGCACCAGACAAAACTTGAAAATAAAAAAAGTGTCAATTTTCTTGGTAGAAGATCTTCATTTACTTTACACAGGGTCAAAGTTACCTATATTTCATCCTTTTATTGTGTGTTTTCCAGACTAGGGATCACAGGAAAAAATATTAAAATAAATGATGCCCCCATGGTAAAAGTTTCAGGTTGGTTCAATTTTAAGAGCAATGAAATTTTCTTTTTTGGAAGGTAAGAATATTGAAAATCAGTTAATTTATCTGCGATAGAATGATATAGTTATTCTTTTGTTTATTTAAAGATAAACTTGGGTATTTTAATTTAGCATTTAATTTTCTTCCAGAGCTGTATTGTTGTTACAATCTTGGGATTCCATGCAACTACAAGAGAAAAGGTTCATGTCTCAAATATTTCATCTCACAGGTTAGTGGAACGTAATGTAACATGGAACAATTAGTAATACTTGTTTTATATCCTGATGAAAAAGTATAAAGATAAAATAGAAGCACAAACAAATATAGTCAATAACATTTCATTTAACATTTTTGATACTTTCATTTCTGGTAGATGGATGTCATTATGTAACATAATTACCATATCTACCATATTTACTGTGTATATTTTTATTTTGAAATGAGGTCTATTTAAATTGTTGAAATTAAGTTTTCTTACACAAAAGTTGATGACTTAATTTTACAGTAAATTTTATTTTATGTGCTTCCATGTAATTATATTAATCTTTTTGCCACCCTGATGTTAAATCAATTGAGAATTTCTGTTGGTATTTTTTCTTTGATTTGAAGTTTTTCCATGTAAGAAAACGTCTTTTTCACTCTGATGTAAAACCATTTGTGAATTTCTGTTGATATCTTTTCAGATGTAGAATATTATGTGGAGTTTTTCTGCTGTTGTTACTAGGATTAAACTGGATAATAGGACTTTTGTCAGTTAACTATGATTCTACTGCCCTGTACTATGTCTATGCTGTAGTAGTAATGGCTCAGGGATTGTTCATGCTCTTAGCATATGTTATAGGGGACACAAAGGTAAGTAAATATCTTCAAATTACAGGCAATAATTGTAAACCTGTGCACCATCTTTTTCTGGTCATTACATCTAATTTAAATGGGAGACTTTGAAGGTGCACACACTTGTTACTATTTGTACATTGTTTACAGACTTGTCTGATTTTGATCTTTAAAACTAATCTAAAGCAATTGTTGCATAATTTGCATATACTCATTTTAGTTATTGTGCTATGGTTAATTTTGAGTTCTTGTCTTTCATTTTTGCTTATGTACTTTGTCTATTTGCCATTTTGTGTTTTTTTGATGAAAAAGTTATTTGTTTTTATAGTGATTAAGATTATATAACAATGTTGACTGCTGTACCCCAATTTTTTTACGTTTTTACCTATTATGTCTGTTTGTTTTGCTCACACATTGTTGTCAATATAATGGAATTCTATGCGACTGTCATACAAGTGAGAGGTTTAACTAGCTATAGAACCAGATTTAATCCACCATTTTCTACATAAGGAAATGCCTGTACCAAGTCAGGAATATGACGGTTGTTTTCCATTCGTTAGTTGTGTTTGAGCTTTTGATTTTGCCATTTTATAAAGGACTTTCCATTTTGAATTTCCCTTGGAGTTCGGTATTTTTGTTATTTTACTTTTTAGAAAAAATTACTTCTCATGTAATGGTGAAGGTGCATTTAAAAAATAGAAAAGTAATATTTTGCCAGATTTCAAAGTTATTGATCAAATAAACTTCCCTGAAGTAAAGTGCATTGTAATTTCTACCTAAAGGTTGCATATTTTGTAAATACAGCTGTGTCACAAACCACTCCTCTTTTGGGGAGATATACAATATTCAGAGATATTTTGTTTTGTTTACCTACTGGGTCCCAGATATGGTCTCTTTGTTTCATCTCAAAGAGACACCACTTGGGAATTTTACGAGTATAAATATATGTGGATAGGTCAAATTGAATTCTGAAGAAGACCCAAAGTGAAGGGAGGGGTAGTACAGAATTTTAGTATAAGTTTAAACTCTTAGAAGTTTGAGGCATATAAATGTTGAAAATATGCCGGACAGCCCTATATTTTGACCTTTGAAAAAAATAGTAGTGCATATGAACTTTCCATTCTAGGATACGAATTTTTACGAAACTTCATAGTAAAAGTGGCACAGTTTGAGCCGTGATTGGAGTTCCTATTAGAAATTGCATTGTCTATATTTTGTTACAGACTTGGGGAATAGCTCTGGTAGCAAGGATGGAGGCGATTATTTATACGGACAGATAAAAACACATCTGCTTCCATTTCTACATTTTAATCAGACAAAGATGACGTCACAAACAAGAATACAAAATAGTGGCAAAAGGGGAACAACTCTCTCTTACACACAGAAACATAATCCGACCATACATACTGATATATAACATCCCGCCCACAAAACAAAAAAAATACTAATTTTTTACAATGGTCAATATGTTTATGTGTTTAAAAAAAATACAATTTATAATTATTTCCAAAATTGAAAGTTTACATGAATAAAGTTAATCTCTTGACACTCTAGTAACCATTTCAAAACAAACGTATCAACGCTGCAAAACCGAAAGTCTGGCATCTCGGACTCCTCCCTCGGATGACCTTATGCACGCATTACTTTCACACAACACTTACAGTGATACACACATATTAATGGCATTTCCTACTAGACAAACTGATATCATTATAAATAGCTGAATACAAATTTGATAGTATCATCAGAGACCTTATAAACTCTTAAATTAAAGGTTTTATTTATGATAAATATCACACCGCTAAATGATAAACACATTCACATCAGTTTAATTTCAAAGTAAACAAATAACGTAGATCAAAATTGACATGAAAATTATCTGGATTCATAAAATCAACATAGTTAGAAATAAAATGTTCTCGTACAGAATAAATTTATCATCTTTTCTTTAAAATGAATAGGTCTTCTTGGAAATCTTCAAAACCATGGCGATATTCTTCAATCTCATAATATTCCATAACGTTTAATAAGAGTCAAAATATTACGGCGGAATGAAACACAACAGCAATACAGTCAACATAACGCAATTATTAGATACATCTGATCACACGTGTAGTTCAGCGGATAAATCTGGGTCATCATCGATAAACAAAGATTGTTATGCAGTAAAAAAAGGCCCTTCTGATGAAATCGGAACTTTAGAATGCATGGCGATACAGTTATCACCGATGCAACTCGACTAATGTCAAATCAAAATAGCATATATATAAACAGGATCCAAATGTTACGGACATTAAATAATGTATGATGCAATGAGATAAATCTCACGTGCTTTCTGGTTGAAAACGGTATACATGTAGACATTCATTATAATAAATCACAAAGACAGTACACGAGACGAGACATGGTCTGTTCTTCATTCCAAAAATCCATTTAAATTTTGGTATTATAATAAACGTGCAGCTATAAATTTTCAAAAACAATTAAAAGTGTTCAGCATCATGGCGGCATATCAGGATCCGTCAGGAACGGTCGGTCAACTTCATAGGTAAAAATGTCCAAAATCCATAAAAATTAAAACTCCAAAAAAATGTATACGTCGTTATCCATCGATCGTTTAGGGTCTCCACCATGTTACAGACTTGGGGAATAGCTCTGGTAGCAAGGATGGAGGCGATTATTTATACGGACAGATAAAAACACATCTGCTTCCATTTCTACATTTTAATCAGACAAAGATGACGTCACAAACAAGAATACAAAATAGTGGCAAAAGGGGAACAACTCTCTCTTACACACAGAAACATAATCCGACCATACATACTGATATATAACAATTTACTGAAGTGCAACCTATAGAGATTAACATATATAAATGTGTAATTGATGTGTAGTTAAAATTGTCATATTTCTTACATTGCTGTTGAATGAGATAATTTATAGAATGTGTTTCATTTCATTTGTATATGATTGATTACAGGTCAGAAGTCAAGTAAGACGACAGTGGCTCAAATGTCAAGGTAGAAACATAAAGTCAGAAGAAAATCTGGTTGGAAAAGGTGTTCCTGTTTCTGTAAGTTCAATGGATATTTTTATTTTTATATTCTTTTCTTCAACTTCTTGATTGTTTATTACAAGATTAAAGCATGAGATGCATTATTGATCATACAAACAATTATCTTCATCTGTTATTTTATTATTGTTACATGTAATTGCCACTTTGAATTAAAGTGTACTATAAAATACATTCTAATACATTGGTGAAGTTACAATTATATACTAATTTGATCAGAGATAGACAATGCTGTTGAAAAGAAACAAAATAGAAAATTATTTCAAAGGACAAAGGATGAATATTTGCATATATATTTTGGTTGTCAAATATGTAACTTGCAAACTGTGCTATAGTGAAACCTGTCTGAACTGAAATCATTTTACATTGTATAGATTTGAAAGGTCTTTTTTATACAGGTTATATTAAATTATAAATACTTAGTTTGCCCTGATTCAGTAGTTCAATTAAAACAGGTTTTAGATATATATACGATACAATTTGAACAGTTTCTACTGTATTTTTGGTCTCATAAATCTAAAATCAACATTTTATTTATATTTGCCAGAGGTCAGCTTTAGCCTACAGAAATGATGCATCATATGAGGGCAATATAAACAGAATCAGTGTTGGTATAACAGCCTCCTCCACTACTAGTCGTTCTACCAGTAAAAATAGTGGAGGTTTATTTAAAGGTGAAGATTACCTCTGTAGTACTACCTCCACATCAGGACACGTCCCGGGATCAATGTATCCTAACAAAAAAACAGCATTGACACCATATGCTTATGATACAAAGGCTTACATGGAGAAAAGACCGAAGGGTGAGACGTTGGTGATGGGTGATGTCAATTTTAACATTTTTGTGGTGTTGGCTTTTATTTAATTTCCTCCTACCTTTGATTGGCAGAATTTAACCAAAATTTGTTTTTCTTCTACCTATTGGTTTTCCCTTGGTCGTCTCATTTTCCATTTTTCATCCTTGTGTTGTGTTGTACTAAATCTATCAATTTTCATTTAATTTTCACATTATTTTTTCTTTTGTCTTATTTCAGAACATTATCTTGTGTATCATATAACATGTTTAACAAGGCTAATTATTTTGACACACTATTTGTAATGAGTGTTTTTGTGCTGATAAATGCTAATGTATAAACTTATGAGCTAGATATTATAGAAATACTTTCAAAATATCAATATTTTTCTACAGAACTCTTGTAAATACTATTTATGTAGGAAGAATCTTGTTATAAGATTGACATTATTTTCTGGATGTTTTTGTGATTTCAACAATTGAACGTTTTGGTTCCAGTATTGAAATTGGCATTTTATGTATGGTTTAATAGAAAACTTGTGACATGAGGTTAGAGAACATTCAAAATCTTCATCTTCTGCTGGAATATGCTTCAAGTGTGAGTTCTACACAGTCATACAGTTTGCTATTAAAATAAAAGTAAACCAAAAAACTACATTTAAAAAGTTATAATCCAGACCTTTGAGAGCTTTACATACAATGTAAACACCTGTCTATTGTTAAAAGACTGTCTATATTGACCTCCTGATGTACTTATGTTATTTGTGTTGCTGGATTGCTGCCTTTATGACTTATACCAACATCTTTTTTTTTTATTTATATCATGATTGCAAATTGAAAGCGTAACTGTAAGAAGTTATATATGATAGATAATTAAATTGATTAATGTTGTTTTTTTATCTTTCTGTAGGAAAAAGGTTTATTTTTTTTATTTTTTATCCTGTTTAACATATTGTTAAATCTGTTTTACATATTATATCTGTTATATTGTCTATTTGCTCAACCACATTTGAATATTTTCCAACATTAAAGTATCATGAATATAATTATTTTGTAGAACAAGAAATTGATGAAACTGGAAGAGTAAAACATCCAAATGATTCAGATTCTGACAGTGATGCATCCGAAGGAAACATTAGTTTAGAGTTAGCATCAAGTCATTCATCAGATGAAGATGACGATGATGATAACATTACCTCATGGGAAAAACAAATGTCTAAAAATAAAATTGTTGGCAAGTATTATTAATTTTAGCCTGTTCTGGTAAATAACTACTAGCATAATTTTTCATGACATGTTTTATGTTCTATTCAGGTAGATTTTGTTAAATCTGTTGTATTATTTGTGTTGGTGTTTTTGTTAATCCTACAATTTTGCTGCTCTGTAGATAATTTTTAAAGGCAAGAACCTACTTAAATATTTTTTTATGTTTTTATAAATGAACTTTGTGTAATACTTTTCAGAAGATGCCAAAGAACAAATAAGGAAAAAGAAAAGAGAGAAAGAAGATGCAGATAAACAAATACCAGTAATAGGTATGTAACAGATATACATACTTAGGCTCAAAATTGTTCCTTTTAATATTCAAGAAATACAGTTTCTGGAACAATAAGTGTAAAAATATGAGAGACACAGAATGTGAAAATATATTAAAAACATAAATGATTATATTTTTTTTTAATTTTCAAAGCAAGTTATGATTCCTTTGATAATATACAGTTACCTTTTTTTCCCCCGAGTACAGATTAGAGATTTTTTTAATAATTATCAACTTTATTAATATTTGATTTATTTTTCCAGATAATGCACAGATGTTTAATAATAACCCACAGTTTAACCATTGGCCAGGAGATCCACATCTGGCCAATCACCAGATAAACGAGTCAGACTTCCGTCCATCTGACCAGTACAGTATACAACACACGATGTCCAGTGTTCCACCAGATGTCACTTTACATGCTCAGGAATTCCAAGGTAGTCGAGACTACTTAGCTAGTAGCCATTATACCAGTAGTGACTTTGCTAGTACAAGCAATGATTATTCTAGTCTATATACAGGCAGTCAGGATCAACAAAGCAGCACAGTGCAAAGTAGCAATGACTATGAAAGCATAAAGGACTATCAGCCTCCCAAAAAAATAGGGTCCATACGAATGGGGGTCTTTTCTAGATAAAATTTGATCAGGATAAGGTATTCATGACAAGAACCCACTTCAAAATGGTTTGTTAAAAAGAAGTGAAATAATTGACTATCAGCAATCAAATCTGTATTCAGAAGTAAAGTATAGGGCATTTGATACAAATGATAATCATAAAATAATGGCATGTATTATTATAGCCATGGTAAGGGATGTCTTGATAATCACATGACAAGAAGCATTAACAGGCATACTTCATTATTATACAAGTTCTCTCACACAAACAGTGCTTTAATATGTGTTTATATTTATTTACAACTTATAAATGCATGACAGTAATTTATTGGCTATAAAAGTTCAAAAAACATTCCTAATAGGTACGCTGTAAATATTGCCAGAATTCCTCACACATTGCACAATAAGTGTCTTTGTTGTCTGTTGATCTGTGTATATAAAATACTTATTTTGTTGAATTTCTACATGTGATATATTTTGTTGCTTTTTTCCATTGATTGGTTTAATGTTTATGCTTTTGCATTTTTTTTTCTGTAAATATGTAAATAGATGTTGTAATTTGTATTATATGTGTACATGCAAATATTTTTTGTAAAATGATCCCTGATAGAATTAAGTACAATTTAGGAGGAGGATTTAGATAATCTTAGTTGGTTCATCTGACAAGTAAATCATAACAAATTTTTGTTTAATTGCCATAGTTTAACAATACAGTTTGCCTTTATAAATGTAGGTAACAGGGACTATATTATACCTCCTACTCGAATGGACAGTTTATTGAATGACTCCAGCAGTATTAGTAAAGTATCCTCTGTCATGGCCAATCTGCCATCAGAACGAGTCAAAGTTCAAGTGCTAACTCACAATGGCAGTATATCATCTGACTCTGAGTAAGTGTAAGTGGAATATCAAACTTTCCGTATCCAAAATCTTGGGTTTTGTGTGATATCCAAGTTTATGTGTGTGCAAAAATTGTAAAAGAAAAATATATTAAATAGTTGAATATGAATTCAATAAAATAATTAAAAAGATCCAGATATTGCACTGAGTTATGCTAAATACTCTCAAGATTCAGAAATTAATTAATTTATCTATTGAAATTTTGATCTATATTAAAATAAGGCAAGAGTTGTTAACAATTCAAGATTAATAAATGTTATTTCAGTTTAATATTGTATTGGAAAATTTCTATCAAAGAAGAACAAATGTCATGCTCGTTTTAAAGCATTTCCCCCCCATAAAAACAATTATAATAATTTCTGAATCTATAGACTTTATTATCTCAAAGTATCATACTATAAAAGGTGATCTGATATTTTCAAATAGTGTTCAACAAAACAGATAAAATCAATATGCTCCAGAAATAAGTATGATATTTTCAGATTTATTCTTTGCTTTCCTGAAATACTTTTATTTGCATGCTGTTATCCAATACCTATATAATGCATTTACTGTTGTTTAATGTCCACCATAGTCTGAAGACACACAGAACTTTGCACACAAATGATACACTGTCACTCACTTCAAATATTAGAAGGCAACGGTGATGAATTTACTTGGTTTTTGTTTCAATACACATTTGCATGACATTTTTTGTTCTTAATAATGAAATGGTAGCAAACAAAAGACAGCCTTTAGATATTTGGCTGAAGAACTATTGCATTATCACAAAACTGTTTACCAAATTCAGATTTTCTTGAAATTGGTCAGTTGAAATTTAACTTTATTTACAGATATATCTTTTTTTTTTCTTAATGAAATACTTTCTCACAATAGATCATGTTGTATCTCCATAAATTTCTCGTTTCTGATCTTTTCAGCAATGAGTAAACATACAAGTTAAAAAGATATTCTTGTAAAGTAGAAGTTGGCATCAAATTTCTTCAATGTTCAAGTTGAGCATTAGTCAGGCTTAATGATCATTTTTGAACATTTTGTTGTAGTAAATACCTATCATACCCAAGATTGCTAAAAAATATCAAAAAGAAAAATCTCAATCTGTGATATCTGGAAAATATCTACAAGTACAGAAAAAAGTTCTGGAGTTATAATTAAATCACCATATACATGCATTTACAAATATTTTTTTTATGCCCCCGCCGTAGGGGAGGGGCATTAAGTTTTACCCTTGTCCATCTGTACGTCCCAAAATTGGTTTCCGTTCTCTAACTTGAGTTTGCCTCAACCAAATGTTATGAAACTTATACTCAATGCTTATTACCACAAAATACAGATCAAGTTTGAATTTTGGTAGCATCACTCTAACTGTTCTAGAGTTATGCCCCTTTATAAATGGAAAAATTACAAAATTTTTAGTTTCCTTTCTCTAACTTAAGTTTACACGATGCTTATTACCACAAAACACAGATCAAGTTTGAATTTTGGTGGCGTCACTCTAACCATTCTAGAGTTATGCCCCTTTATCAATGGAAAAATTACAAAATTTTTAGTTTTGTTCTCGAACTTAAGTTTGCCTCAACCAAATGTTATGAAACTTATACACAATGCTTATTACCACAAAATAAAGATCAAGTTTGAATTTTGGTGGGGTCACTTTAACCATTCTTGAGTTATGCCCCTTTATAAATTAAAAAAAAAAAAAAGCAAAATTTTTAGTTTCCATTCTCTAACTTAAGTTGCCTCAACCAAATGTTATGAAACTTATACACAATGCTTTTTACCACAAAACACAGATCAAGTTGAATTTTGGTGGCGTCACTTTAATCATTATCGAGTTATGCCCCTTTATAAATGGAAAAATTGCAAAATTTTTAGTTTCCGTTCTGTAACTTAAGTTTGCCCCAACCAAACATTATGAAATCTTTACACAATTCTTATTACCACAAAACTCAGATCAAGTACAAATTTGGGTAGCATCACTTTTATTGTTCTTTAGTTATGTCCCTTTATAATGTTGTATGCAAGCTGGGGCATTATCTGTGTCCATGGGGACACATTCTCCATTTATTTTTTTATGGAAAAACTTTTGTCTGTTTTATTTTGTCTGCTACCGTATCAGTTTTATTTGAATTTTTTGCATGATAGCATGAATGCATGATTTTTTTCGTAACTTTTTGTTCTGTTTATTTTGTAGATGCAGCAATGAGACCACAGTATAACAGTTAAAAGAGACTAAATGCCAAATCAAGTGTCATAAACATTGATCTCAAATGATTCTTTTATTCATTCCCATTTCAAATGAAATCTTCTCATATTGATCATTCCATATTTAATGCTCATTTGGATGGAAATCCAGTTTCAAGTGTTTTTCATTTCTTTGCTCTCTACTGCCTTTGTGAGAGCAGCATAATATCTGGTGCTCCTTATCATTTATTTTCCCAGTAATACATATCATTCATAAAAATACATATTCAATTTTACAGAAATGAAATGTGATAGAATTTTTTTTTTTATTTTGTCCTTATACAAACCTGTGAGATAGATTGACAGGTTGATCCTTGAAATCCTTTGATAAAAATCCAGAATTGATGTGCTATGTTTTTTTAGATATACTTTTATCTCAATGATCTCTTTTACAATTTATACTTACAAAGGGTCAGAGTATTGTAATTCTTTCATATAAACTACAAATGCACTTCTCCAAAAGGAACAATTTAGATATTTCTGCAAAGAATATTTTCTTTCCATCCACAAAGAAGTAAATAATGGTAGTTGTTCTTCCTTTAGATTGATATTTTTACATCCATTTCATCATATTTTTTTTAAATGATTCAAACTAAGTATCTTGTGTTGTTATTTTATATTGTACTTGAATACCACTGGCAATAAGTAACAAGTGGATAATTGGAAGTCTGTGATTTATATATATTAAAGGTTGTGTATAAATGTAATGTATGTGTATATTGGAGAATGTGTGAATGAATGATGTAAAAGAAAATAAATTGAGTGATATTTTTGAATGTGATATTTAATGTGAAATGTAAATTTTTTATATATATGATTTTTGCTTTGTATAAGGACTCGTCTTTATATGAGCTGCCTTTTATACAAAATACTTCAAAAGTAATAAAAATAATAATATGTATATGTGTGTTCTTTTTCTTGAAGACCAATGAATCTTAACAGAAGTTTAAGAGGAATTTATGTAGATACCTTGGCTGAATCAAGCTAGCTTCTATTAGCATACTTCCAAAGAGATGCTCCCTAAAGCAAAATTTAAATCTAGTGTCATTACCATCATGTGGCCTTTCGAATAACAAACCATATGTTGTTTCAAAATATTTTTTTTAAATACCGCAGCTGTGCTCTTTGTGCAGTCAAATTGCATTGACCATATATTTAAGTCTCCCAAACGAAGTTTGGGAAGACTTATTGTTTTTGCTCAGTTATTATTATTATTCTTCTTCTTCTTCTTCTTCTTCCTCTTCCGCCACTTTTAAATTTGAACTTGTCCGCACCCGTTCTCCAAAACCGCTTGTCAGATTAACTTAGGGTTTCACAATATGTTAGACTAACATGTCTAGTGGTGCAATCAGGGTTTTGTTTGTGCAATGGGGTTTATGAAGGGGTACTTTGAGGGGCAAAAAGAAAAGGGGGTTTTACTATAGAACCCTATGGGAATTTATTTTTTAAAATTTTCAAATGATTATAAATTGAAAACCGTTTGTGATAGACACAATCTTTTTAATTGAAAATGTTCTAAATGATAAAGCCCATTAAATGAAATACAGGGTTAGTCCCCAGGGGCCACCCCCACCCCCTGCCATTTAAGAAAGTTCTAATACCTTGTAAGTGGTCAAGATCCCCACCCCTAAACCATATATATTTTGGTTTGTTATGCTAAGATGGTTTGAATGATATACAGGGTTAGTCCCCAGGGGTCATTCCGACCCCCTGCCATTTGAGAAAGTTCTAATATCTTGTAAATGGTTGAGATCCCCACCCCTAAACCATATATATTCTGGTTTGTCATGATAAAGCACATCAAATTTAATACAGGGTTAGTCCCCAGGGGTCACCCCCACCCCCTGCCATTTAAGAAAGTTCTAATATCTAAGTGGTCAAGATCCCCACCCCTAAACCATATATATTCTGGTTTGTCATGCTAAGATGGTTTGAATGATATACAGGGTTAGTCCCCAGGGGTCATCCCGACCCCCTGCCATCTGAGAAAGTTCTAATATCTTGTAAATGGTCGAGATCCCCACCCCTAAACCATATATATTCTGGTTTGTCATGATAAAGCACATCAAATGAAATACAGGGTTAGTCCCCAGGGGTCACCCCCACCCCCTGCCATTTAAGAAAGTTCTAATATCTTGTAAGTGGTCAAGATCCCCACCCCTTAACCATATATGTTCTGGTTTGTCATGCTAAGATGGTTTGAATGATATACAGGGTTAGTCCCCAGGGGTCATCCCGACCACCCTGCCATTTGAGAAAGTTCTAATATCTTGTAAATGGTCGAGATCCCCACCCCTAAACCATATATATTCTGGTTTGTCATGATAAAACACATCAAATGAAATACAGGGTTAGTCCCCAGGGGTCACCCCACCCCCTGCCATTTAAGAAAGTTCTAATATCTTCTAAGTGGTCAAGATCCCCACCCCTAAACCATATATATTCTGGTTTGTCATGCGAAGATGGTTTAAATGATATACAGGGTTAGTCCCCAGGTGTCATCCCGACCCCCTGCCATTTGAGAAAGATCTAATATCTTGTAAATGGTTGAGATCCCCACCCCTAAACCATATATATTCCTATTTGTCATGTCTCGAACATTTGAATGATGTATACGGTCAGTCCCCAGGAGTTCCTCCCCACCCCCAATGTTCTAGTATCTTGTAAATGGTCGAGATCCCCACCCCTAAACCATATATATTCTGGTTTGTCATGCCAAAATGATTTGAATGATATACAAGGTTAGTCCCCAGGCATCACTAATGCATATAACTTTACTGGACCAAACCAATTTTCACTGGACGTTGCCCAATGTCAGGCGACCCTGGGAATTACGAATTATGGGAGCTTCGTTTGGGAGACTTCGTAACAGCATCCTGTTACAATCATTTCTTGTCATTTGTGATATTGATATACAGTCACTGACCATATATCGCCTTGTTTATGCGTTTCTGTAGAGTTTTATTTATGATGCCAATAAATAATACAGGTTCGCGGAAATTTTACATCATCCGCTCCAAATTAAAAAAGGATGGTTTTTACCCTAAATATTTCATTTGGAACAGATGTAGGAGTTGCAGTATACAGAATAACCATACATGGTCTCGAAATATAAATATTATTTGTACTCAACTCGAAACAGAAATGCTCGTCAAAGCCTCCCTTTTTAAGCCTTGTACAAATAAAATTTATTTTTCGAGACAATGTATTGTTATTCTATATTTGAATTATCCAACCACTCCAAAGGATCCTATGCCAATACCCCTTCAATGGTTTTGGAGTAAAAAACACATACTTTTCTATTCAGGGGAATCCACCTATCGAATCTTATTCAAGGAACTCTAAATACATAAACTTGTATATATAATGACATATAGTAATAGCACTCGTCTCTTGTGGACCATATGCTTAGGTCAAGGTGTAGTTTTTTCATTTCAATCAATGATGTGCTAGCTTGATTTGTGTTAATTGACCAACTGTATTCTTCTATAAATCGGTATATAAATGAGAGGAGATGATATGATTACTAATGAGACAACTAACCACCACAGACCTAAGGACAGGGATGTAGACAACTATCTGCAAGTCACTGGAAGCCCTTCAACAATAGGCCTCTGCATGACGAAATCTGAAACAATTCAAAAGAGAGTATTAACTGCCCAATTTATGCTAAAACAAACCAATTAACCGATTTACTATGAAAATGAGGTAAAGGTTATATGAACCCTGCCAGACAGACATTTTCAGGTTACAATCATTCAATACACCAAATACAGTTGACCGATTGCTTATTGTATTCAAATAACAGAGTGAAACAATAAACACTCAACAATGAACCATGAAAATGAGGTCAAGGTCAGATGAAACCTGCCAGACAGACATGTACACCTTTCAATCATTCCATACACCAAATATAGTTAACCTATTGCTAAAAGTATCCAAGACCTAATCATATTAACTTAACCTTGTTCGCTGTTCAAAGAAATGATTTAAAGGTTCGGTGAACCCTACCTGACAGACCTGTAGGTCCTGTAAGCACACCACATACCAAATATAGTTAACTTATTACTCATAAGTGAAAATTCACATGACAAAAACTAGTTATATTTAGCAGACACTGAACCATGAAATGAGGATAAAGATTAATGAACATATGCAAGAAGGAAACTTTAGAACTGGAAACTTCATACATATATATGAATTACCTTTTGAAATAAAGAGCTTTATACAACGAGTTTACATTTTAACCACTCCAGGATGTGCATCCCTATATCATTCTGCTACTATCATTGCAAGCAAGAGATCATAAACTGTTAACACAGAGATATGTCTCGCCTATTTGTTATTTTGATAATGCAAATGTTGAAATTAAAATAGCAATACTTTAACATGCAAGTTATGCAAATATTCAAAGTCAATGAACCATGACAACAATCTCCATGGAAATGAGATGTGCCAATGCTAATACAACTGCTAACCAAATACCATTGACTTTTCATTAGTCGTTCCCTTTAAACAAACCTAAACACAAACATTAACTTGTAAACTATGTAAAATTTTCAAAGTCAATGGACCACAATTAGGGGGTGGGGTTATAAAATATCCATGGAAATGGAACTTGCAAATGCCAATACATTTGCATACCGAATATATCATTGACTTAATATTAGTGGTTCATCTTAAACTGACCTAATCACAAACTAATACATGTAAACTAAGCAAAAGTTTCAAAGTCAATAGACCATGACTGAGGTGTAAGGACCAAATATTCTCCATGGAAATGAGATGTGCAAATGCTTATACAACTGCATACCAATTATCATTGACCTACCACTAACAGTTCCCCTTAAACTGGCCTAATTACAAACTAATACATGAAAACTAAGCAAAAGTTTCAAAGTCAATAGACCATGAAAGAGGGGGCTGGGCCGAATAATCTCCATGGAAAAGAGATGTGCCAATGCTTATACACCTCATACCAATTATCATTGACCTACCACTAACAGTTCCCCTTAAACTGACCTAATCACAAACTAATACATGAAAACTAAGCAAAAGTTTCACAGTTGATAGACCATGAATGAGGGGGCGGTGCCAAATAATCTCCATCGAAATAAAATATGCCAATGCTTATACAACTGCATACCAAATATCATTGACCTACCACTAGTGGTTCCCCATAAACTGACCTAATTACAAACTAATACATGTAAACTAAGCAAAGTTTCAAAGACAATAGACCTTGACTGAGGGGGCGGGGCCAAATAATCTCCATGGTAATGAGATGTGCCAATACTAATACAACTGCATACCAAATATCATTGACCTTCCACTAGTGGTTCACCATGAACTAGACCTAATCACAAACTAATACATTGTTGACGCCTCCGCCGACGCCAGAAACAGCATACCTATGTCTAGCTTTTTGACTCCGTCAAGGCGAGACAAAAAACAGATCCTTCAATGATATCACAATAAAAATGATTGTCACAGCAAGTGGAGATCTTTTTTTATGGCCCCGCAACAGTTGTCAGGGCCATATAGTTTTACCCTTGTCATTCTCTCATCCTTCATTCTGCAACGAACAGTTATACAGACTTTTTTCTAAACACTTTCACAAATTGAGCTGATTTTTAGTAAGTTTTTTGCGAGCGGGGCCATTCTTGTTGTTCTGACACATCTAGTTTTCAAATGTGTTTTCTTTGTTTGCTAGTATCTAGTATAGTGCATGCAGGAACAGTTTAAGATATATCACAGCATCTGTCTATATTGACAACAACTCCTTTTTTTTATTTTTATACGGTTCTTGTTGGTACATTAAGTTCTCAATCACAAATATATATCAAAACTGCAATGTACCAGTATTCAATTTTGCTATTTTAGGCAAAATTCAACCTTGCA